TAAATGATAGAACAGTGAAGATAAGCATTAAAGACACAAATCCAAGATACTGCAAACCTAGAGTTCCACCTTATGCAATGAGGGATAAAATTAATTGAAAATGAGCTAAGTAGATTGGAATCTAATGGCATCATAAAGAAGGTAGACTATTCCGATTGGGCAACGCCCATTGTGCCAGTGCTAAAGAAGGATGGTTCTGTAAGAATTTGTGGAGACTATAAAGCTACACTGAATAAGCAAATAGAGCTAAATAGGTACCCTATTCCTAACATTGAGGAAATTGCTTTGACTTTGGCAGGAGGAGACAAATTCACTGAATTTGACTTTAGTCATGCTTACACTCAACTAGAACTTCATCCAGATTCAAAAGTCTATACGACAATAAACACACAAATAGGACTCTACCAATATGAAAGACTATGTTTTGGTATATCATCTAGCACTGGAATTTTCCAGGCTGTCATGGACAGTATTTTTCAGGACATTCCAAATGTTTGTGTTTACTTTGACAATGTGTACATAACTGGTAAGAATGACACTGAACATCTGAAAACACTTGATAAAGTCTTGAAAATAGTTGGTTTAAAGATAAACAAAGATAAATGTCAATTCATGCTGACAGATATTAGTTTTCTTGGTTATATTTTGAGCAAACAGGGTCTCAGACCTCAACCTGAGAAAACAAAAGCCATTAAAGAAGCACCCAAACCTGAAAATACCCAACAGCTAAGAGCTTTTTTGGGCTTGATAAATTACTATGCGAAGTTCATAAGGAATCTGTCTGGTAAACTATCACCACTGTACAAGCTGCTGCAGAAAAATGCAACTTGGCACTGGGGTAAACAACAAGATGCTGCTTTTAATGCAGCAAAAGAAGCTTTGTCTTCTGACACTTTGTTAACTCACTATGACCCAGGGAAAAGACTTATCTTAACATGTGATGCTTCACCAGATGGTGTAGGAGCAGTTTTATCCCACATAGATGAAAATGGTGACAGACCCATTGCTTTTACCAGTAGATCTTTGAACCAGGCTGAGAAAAATTATTCTCAGTTAGATAGGGAAGGCTTAGGCATCATTTTTGGTATTAAGAAATTTCACAAGTTTCTGTTTGGTAGGGAGTTCACCATCTTTACAGATCATAAGCCATTGCTGGGTTTGTTTGGGGAAAACAAACCCCTGCCTGAGCATGCCTCATCAAGTGTTCAAAGGTGGGCTATCACACTAGCCGCATACAATTATGAATTGAAATACAAACCTGGATCTGAGAATAGTGCAGATAGTCTTAGTCGTTTACCTTTAAAAAACCAAAGTCTTAGTTATGTACTAGAAGATGTATTTGTTCTTTTCACTATCATAAATAACTCCAATATAAATGTGAATGATGTTAAAAGAGAAACACAAAAAGATGAGTGCTTGATAAAAGTATATGAGTACTGTAAGAATGGTTGGCCTGAAGAGTCTGTGAATCAGGGGCGGAACTACCATACCGCCAGACCCCGCAATGCGGGGGGGGGGGGGGGCCCAGGACGTTTAGGGGCCCAGTTCCGACCAAAAAACAATGCATTTTTTTTTCAAAAATTATGTTTTTCATACATCTTGAAAGTGGTTTTGTAAAAAAAAAAACAGGTCTACTATAGCAGAGATTGTTGCGTAGAAAAATAATTTAAAATCTACAAGAGCTATAGTTTGAAAGGTAGGTAAACATTCACACTACTTCCATGACTTACTGCCCTTCTTTAAAATAGGGATGCCCACGAAGCTCTTTTAATAGTTTTGTACTATGTATATTAAAAAGCAATTAATTCTCTGAATTGTTACTTAAATAAGACGTACTATACAATAGTATAGCTATAAAAATCAATGTTTTCAAAATTGATATTATAAAAGCCAAAAATGAAAAAATAAACATAACGCGAGAAACCATTCACGAATCAAGCTAACGTCTTTATATATTTTTGACGATCATATTTATGATCTGCTCGTAACTCATGATAATTGGTTTGGACTATATTATTTCTGGTTTGTTCTCACAGAATCGTTATATATTGCAATGAAATAGGCTAAATTACTCAGTTAGGATATAGATTATATATATATATATATATATATATATATATATATATATATATATATATATATATATATATATATATATATATAGGGGGCCCTAATTTTTTCTTTGCGGGGGAGCCTTTTTTTTCTAGTTCCGCCACTGCTGTGAATGATGACTTAAGGCCATATAAAATAAGAAAAATGGAGTTAAGTCTAGAAGATGGATGTGTACTATGGGGGTCAAGGGTTATTATCCCCAAAATGTTACAAAAAGAAGTTTTAAGAACTTTACATGATACCCATCTTGGTTCTTCCAAAATGAAGAGCCTTGCACGATCGTGGTTCTGTTGGCCACATATGGATGCTGATATTGAAAAATATGTAAAGCTTTGTTCAAGCTGTGCACAACATTCAAATCAACCAGCTACAGCACCTTTGCAAAACTGGGATTGGCCAATCGAACCATGGAAACGTATCCATATAGATTTTGCAGGACCCTTCATGAAAAAAAGTTCTTAATTGTTATTGATTCACATTCTAAGTGTTTAGAAGTTAAAATCATGAACACAATCACTGCAAGTGATACCATTATAGAACTTAAGGAAATATTTAAAACCCATGGATTACCTGATCAAATTGTTTCAGATAATGGGCCTAGTTTCACTGCTCATGAGTTTAAACTGTTTTGTGTAGCAAATGGTATTGAGCATATAACCACATCACCCTATCACCCTGCTGGGAATGGTTTGGCTGAAAGAGCGGTAGGCATATTCAAAACCGCTATGGTAAAAATGAGTACCGGTAACAAATTTTCTCTCAGGGAAAGAGTAAACAGGTTCTTAGCCAAATACCGCACAACTCCTCATATAACAACAGGTGTTGCACCATGCGAATTGCTGTGTGGTAGGAAAATTAAAACTCACCTTGACCTACTACATCCAACTGTTCAAAGGTCTGTTTCCCAACATCAACATACACAAAAAGTAAATCATGACAAAACATCCATTGAGAGAGAATTTGAAGTTAATGATAATGTGTATCTGAGAAATTATGGGAGAGGGGAAAAATGGATGCCAGGTCAAATTGTTCAATGTACAAGACATGTGTCTTATAAAGTAAAAACAAATGATGGACTTATTGTCCGTAGACATGCAGACCAGTTAAAAATAACTTGTGCAGATAATAAGTGTGAATCTGTCAATCCCACCAAATCTGACCGGCTCACACCAACTCAGTTTGTTCCACAACCAAGTTCTGTTGATATGAGTGAACCAAGTAGTCTAGAGTCAGAAAATGTAAATTCTGGAATTAATTATTTAGATCCTAGACTTCCTGAGCTAGAGAGTCCAGATGGTCAGAATCTTGAGTCACCAAATCAAAAGCCACTGAGAAGGTCAAACAGGTCAATCAAAGTCCCAGATAAGTTAGACCTATGATTTTAAAGGTCACGGGGACTTTGACATCATTGTTTTGTATTTTAATTATGTTGTAGCATATTTTGCATTTGTTTGTAAGGGTGTAATCTACCTTATGATTCAAGTCATATAATGTTCATGTTACAATATATTTGGTGATTTTAGGATACTATCATTTGTTCTATTGAGAGCTGTGTTGTTGTTTCCTAAAGGGATGTAATATATTGAGAATTGTGAAGTCAAGGGAACTCACTCTTCTTGTATTAGTCTTATATTTATAATGTTGTTTTGAGTTATGTCCCTTGTATGTCATGTGTCTTCCGGTGGTAGCTGAATAAAGACTAGATACATCAGCATGGTTTCATTGTCCAGTGTATCATTATAAAAACAACAATCTATTACACTTTTAGCGTGAGGGGTGGGGAAATACTAATTTGAAGTTAGGTGGCGATTTATAAAATATTAAAGTTAAAATCTTTGTTGGTGTTGTGTTATGCGGGTTAGGGTTCGCTTGGAGTTTAAAACGGTTTAATAAATTGTAATAGGATTTAATAAAAATACTCTGTGTTGACAGAGATGTGACAAGATTTTGGAAAAATATCGATGTTTTACAAAAAAAATTCAACAGCAATTTTGAGGGACGCGGTAGAGGGTTGTAGGCTGAGGTGTAACGTCATTTTATGGCAGATCTGGCTTTTTATGACAACGTACGACGGAGGGGGTGGGGGTAAAATCGTCAAAAAAAAAGCTTGCCGTCATTTATGGATGACCCCTAAGTCGCTTAGTTTCTCTAAGCTTCAGAAAACGATTGATATAATTTAATTTATTGTTGGTTTTTTGCACGTTTATGCATGATTTGGCTTAGGTCAATATTTGGTCACATAATTAAGTGAACAAAAAAATGTCTGTGTGTATGTATGTGGGGGGGGGGGGAGGTGTCCTTTTTGCATTATTACACCTTTCATCCAATCGACATGAAATGAAAAACTATGTGAATTTTGAGCATACTCAATCGATCAATGGGAGGTTTCCCCGTAGTGCTGCCTGGAAGAAACTCTTGATTCAACGCCGGCCTTAGTATATTACCTGCCAATTCTCGGCGGATTCGTTATTTTTTAGTTGAACATGCATATTAAATCAAAAGCCTTTCCCCATAGCGCAGCAATAGGTGCAGTGTTTCTTCCAGACTTTTTTCTCCGGGGGGGGGGGGGCACTTGAAATTTTCGGGGGGGGGGGGGGGGGTAGACTTTCTTCGGGGGGGGGGGGGAGAGATGCCTGGAAGAAACTCTGAATAGGTGACGGGTCAGTTAGTGCTTAGATGTGATGCATATAGCTCCGAGAACCTCACTACAATTAGCATAATTTATAGAGTAGACCCGTAAATTTAGGCGCGTAAGAATCTTGTTTATCTTTAGCTTATAGCGGAAAAAAGACTTTTTGTCAGTTGTAAAATATGTAATTTATGAAGAAGTCATTGAAACACATACGAGTTAGAAACAAAATGAGCAAAAGATTATTTTATTTCGTCATCCATTTATTAAGTATTTCGCTTAGATCTAGGCCCTTCTTGTGTTCTCAATCTACCTTTGCAATTATTGCGTAGCAAACATCGCAAATACTCCTTCTATCAAGCAGGTCAAATGCCGTGTGTAATAAAGGCGTAGCGACCCTTCCCGGCACCCGGGGACAAACTTTCAATTTGGCGTCCCTCTAGGGCTGCATTGCATTTTTTATTTTTTACCTGTGAAATGTATGATTAATTAGCACTTTAAGAAAAAAATCTGGAATCATTTTTCTATATACAATAAAATGCAAACTAAAACATCTGCAAATGCCGCTATACAAACATAATTGTACTGTTGCTGGGTATAAAACCAAACGACAAACTTGGACAAAACGTAAATTTGCTATTTTAAGGGTAGAACTAATGTTACCGCCATCTTGCCTACGACCCCCCATCAGCTACATGTCCTATTACTTCCCCCACCTTGGTTAACTACATATCATGGTTCACCCAACGACCTCTGACCTGGCCAATCGTAGTTGCAATAAGGGCCAATAAGTATCAATACATTTTAACAATATTTAAACAATATTTAACTACAGGCCGAAAACTGACGCCATTGATTTGTCTCGTAGTCATCAGACCTGTTTTATTTGCCGGCCCAAAACCCTTGTTGAGTGTTCATCTGATCTGGTTGTAATAAATTGTTTTAGTCTGTAAACTACCCACATAAAGTGTAGCCTAGTCTTCATCGGACTTTCATGTTATTATAAAGCAAGCTAAGTGTTACTTATAATTTATAGGGCTTGTAGATGTTATAATATTATTATTACACGAAGAGCTTGTCCTGCTTGTGATTTAATTCACGAAGACCTAAGCGGTCATTCATAAATGACGTCACGCTTTTTTTTGGACGATTTTTACCTCTCCCACCCTCCCCTTCGTCACATGTCGTCACAAAAGGCCAGAACCCCTCCACAAAAAGGACGTCACACCTCAGCCGACAACCCCCCCCCAAATTGCAGTTGAATTTTTCTTAAAACATCGATATTTAAAAAAACTTGTCAGCAAAGAGTATTTTAATCACTTCCAATTGCAGTTTATTAAAACCCGTTTTTTTTCTAAAACGCGAAATAACGGCTAAAACTCGTTTTCTAACATTGTTTTTTTAATAATTCAAAAGTGTGACGTCACACCATCTCAACCCCTCCCCCTCATCACACACCGTCACAAAATTAAGGACCCCCTCCCCCCTACGAGTGTGACGTCATTTATGGACGATCCCTTTCAACATCGAAGTTTCACGGAGCATTAGACGAGTTATGTTCAGAGTTCCCCCCCCCACCCCCCGACAAAAGTCAGAGTCCGTCCCCCCCCCCCCCCTGGAGAAAAAGTCTGGAAAAAACACTGGTCATGTTATTGGTGTATTTATTATATTGGTCATTACACATATAAGAATGTTATTCTGATACTATTGACATTTATAATTTCTTGCTGTACATTGACCTTTTGAAAATTATGTTTTATTTTTCGTTATATTACATCAACACGTTTTGAAGAGCCAATTAGATATTTTAATTTTTTTTTAAATTCTTCAGAAGTAATTTTTTTTCTGAAGAGCTTGATACTTACTTATATACTAACCCAACCACATGTCGATCAATGAATTCCAATTTTACATTTAAAAAAAAAAAATATGCACTTAATTAAATAGCTTTGTTAATGATCAAGTTAATGCCCTTGATTCTATCTGTCTCACTATTCTTCTAAAAAAGAACTCCTTACTCATTTAGCTCCCTTAAAATAAAATTAATAGTATAAACAAATGTAATAGTAGTAATCATTGGGATTGTGCACTTTATGTAGTCTAGCTATAGAAATTTATGACACAACAATCATTTTTTTTTTAGAAAACAACTCAAGACTGCAGGATATCCCAAAGTCATTCATTTTTATTTTACTTCTTGTTGATAAAAAAAACTGTAAAACAAGAGTTTGAAATTTGAAATGTTCCCCTAACAAGCATAAGTTGTCTGACACTGACCTTCACATACCTGGCACCTACAGGCTTTGGAGCATCACAAGAGAGAAAAACATACCCCAGCATTCAAAACCCTTTGGTCTCATTGGAATTTATACATACAGAAAGTGTTGATAGAAATACAATAACAATAAAAAAAAAACAATTTAGCTATTTTATTTTATAAAATGTTCATGTTATAATGTTATAATTTCTAAAGTCATTCATTTTTTTTAAAATTTATTTTATTTATTGTTGGAAAAAAAATGGTAAAACATGCGTTTGAAATTTGAAATGTTTCCCTAATAAGCATAAGTTGTCTGACACTGACCTTCACATTCCTGGCACAGTACAGGCTTTGGAGCATCACAAGAGAAAAAAACATAGCATTCAAAACACATTGGTCTCATTGGAATTTTTACATACAGAAAGTATTGATAGAAATACAATAACAATAAAAAAACAATTTAGCTATGTTATTTTATGAAATGTTCATGTTACAATTTCTTGAAACTAAGATACCAAAATGTAACAATTGCTGCTTAAGAACAAAGCAAGCATTAGTCACTGGAACAATAATGAGCATCTTATTTATACATCTTTATGCTATTAATTGTAAAATATTTAATGGATCCATACTTGGTTCCTAATAGAAATTTAATTTATCCAGGTACTAAATTACCATTTAAAATTCAATCTCAATTCAATTTATAATAATATCTGCATTAGTGAAGACAATAAATACATTTCAAGGACAAACATTAGGAAAAAAAATTTTTTGGGGGGCAGTCAGTTTTTACATATGGTCTGTGTGAGTTATACATTGCAGACAGTAGAGTTTGGTTATTCTATACCTCTCAATATAATGATTACGGTCATTTAGCAAAAGATGAAAAAGTGTTAATAAAAAAAGATTGCTCAGAAGTTTTGATGTCACTGTACCTGTTGGCCAGATGCCACTGTGACTGCTGGCCTGATGTCATTGTACTTGTCTAATGGAGGTTGTTTTACCTGTCAACCTGATATTCTGTCATGTTGCTGTATGTCTGACTGAGCTGTTTGTTAGTAGTGTAAATGTGTAAAGTTAAGAATGAGAATTAAGTAACAGTAGGGCCTACATATATTAAAAACATCTAGTAAATGTAAATAAATGAATTGAACTTTGTGTTTTATTTTAGTTAGCTTCTGTTATTGTTAATAATGTGTGTAATTGGTTTGAGCATAATTAGTTCACTTCCTTGTCCCAATGTATGTGCAATGTCAATTTTATATAATTTGAAAAGAATAGGCAAATTAAATGTGTGGCCTGAACATAACCATGCCAGTATAAAAAAAAAACAACCCTGGGTTTCTAAAATCATAGCTCATTTCTCCTATCAAATACATTTACAAATAACACAAAAAAAGGTAGGCTACATAGTGCAATGGATTACTATACAATCCTGTGGGTCTGGGTTTTTTTTCCAGACTTTACTAAGAATTTTATTATACACATTGCAAGCTAAATAAACCGGGAGTTATCTCCCCTAAACTTTATCGAATATCTATCTATCTATATATATATAAAGCAATGTATGTTTGTGTGTCTGATTGTCTGTTTGTCCTTTATGCATTACTAAACCTCTCATCACATTGCCTGGGGAGGTTTCTGTGGAAATTTTTTTTAAAAATTCGCCGGGGTGGCGCCCCGGCAGGGCGCAATTTGTTTTTTCTGTATATACGGTATATAAAAATAAAAGTCGATTTTGGTTTGACGCCGTTATCTGATAGCCACGAGACTTTGGGGGAGTTGATTAGAACAATTCAGGGCAGGGTTCTGTAAAAAAAAAAAAATCCTTTTTTAATATCGCAAGGGCGGCGCCACGGGAGGCTGCGATTTTTCTCTATATATGGTTTATAAAAATGATTAGATCACTCAATGGTAGGGTTCTGCAAAAAAATATGTTTTAATATTGCAAGGGCGGCGCCCCCAGGGGGAGCGGTTTTTTTTGTCTATACACGGTATATAAAAATAAAACTTGGATGTGGTTCATCCGAGTGCCATGAAACTTTAGGAAGTAGATGAGAATACTCCCGAGAATATTTCTGCGAAAAAGAAAACTAAAGTTTCTTTTGGGCGGCGCCATATAGGGTACAACTTTCGTCAATACACGGTTTGGCGCCCAGAGTTTTAGAGTGACTATGTTGGCACTTGGCATCCGTTAATCAAGGATCCTGCATAGCGAGTAAGGGGTACTACTATATTCAGCGGTAAAACAACAACAGGCTTCTAAAAATAACTTTGCAACGCGAGGAAATCCTTCTGTACAGTTTTGTCACCTTGCCAAAGATGAAAAAATAACTTTTTGAATATGAAGACCCTACTGTAGAGTTTCGTCACTTTGCGAATGATGCATCTATTATAAGACGATCCAGTACGCTAGTTCATAGTAGTTCTTATATAAAAAAACAACAACATACCTGTAACGGTATTCAAGTAAACATGTTTACAGACACACATACACACAGACAAGATTGCAAAATTATGTTTTTCCGTATCAGTGAGGTGTAAAACGTCCAGATTTGCACGAATCTAGTTTTATTTATTTTTGCCCAATTACAAGACTTTCTCTATATTTCGCATATACGAGAAAGTAAAAATGTACACATGCAGCTGACATATTAGAATGCTATTTCCTTTTACAGTCAGAATACAATTTCTTTTTAGACTATGTGTAAAAATTGACATGGTATACTCTTTGACAAAACAACCTTTTCATAATACAAATATTAAAATTAATAAACTATGGATGACCACTTAGTTAAAGTTATGTGAAGAGAAAAAATTATAACAAGATATTCAATAATAATTTGCTTAAGAATTAATTATTGATGTTAAAAATGACATTAAATTGGTTTTTAGTCATGATGAATTTCCTGGCTTACCTCTAGAATGATTTTTAATGAGTATTTAAATTAGATAATTGACAAAATCTTTTGTGACAAACATCACATTCATGTGGCTTATCTCCTGAATGAACTTTGGGAAAATCTTTTATGACAAATACCAGATTAATGTGGCTTGTCTCTTGAATGACTTTTTCAAGTGCACTTAAATAAGAACTTTGAGAAAATCTTTCATACAGACATATGGCTTATAACTTGTAAAAACACTTATATGCCATAACAATTATTCTTCTCAGTCAACTTTTTGTGACAAATATCATTCATGTGGCTTCTCTCTTTAACGAATTTTTTTTGTGTGGAGATAAACAAGAAATTTGAAAAACCCTTGGATGTCAAACATTACATTCCTGTGGCTTATCTCCTGAATGAACCTTTTTATGTTTTCTTAAATTAGAATTTTGAGCAAACCTTTTATGACAAACATCACATTCATAGGGTTTATCTCCTGAATGAACCTTTTTATGTGCTATTAAATTAGAACTTTGAGAAAACCTTTTCTGACAAACATCACATTCATGTGGCCTTTCTCCTGAATGAACTTTTTTATGTTTTTTTAAACTATATTTTTGAGAAAACTTTTTATGACAAACATCACATTCAATTGGCTTATATTCTGAATGAACCTTTTTATGTGTACTTAAATTAGAACTTTGAGAAAACTTTTTATGACATACATCACATTCATGTGGTCTTTCTCCTGAATGAACCTGTTTATGTGTTTTTAAACTAGAATTTTGAGCAAACCTTTTATGACAAACATCACATTCATAGGGTTTATCTCCTGAATGAACCTTTTTATGTGCTATTAAATTAGAACTTTGAGAAAACCTTTTCTGACAAACATCACATTCATGTGGCCTTTCTCCTGAATGAACTTTTTTATGTTTTTTTAAACTATATTTTTGAGAAAACTTTTTATGACAAACATCACATTCAATTGGCTTATATTCTGAATGAACCTTTTTATGTGTACTTAAATTAGAACTTTGAGAAAACTTTTTATGACATACATCACATTCATGTGGTCTTTCTCCTGAATGAACCTGTTTATGTGTTTTTAAACTAGAATTTTGAGAAAACTTCTTATGACAAACATCACATTCATGTGGTCTTTCTCCTGAATGAACCTGTTTATGTGTTTTTAAATAAGAATTTTGAGAAAACTTCTTATGACAAACATCACATTCATACGACTTATCTCCTGAATGAATTCTGTTGTGTTTACTTAAGCCAGAACTTTGAGTAAACCTTTTATGACAAACATCACATTTATATGGCTTATCTCCTGAATAAACATTTTTGTGTTGTAATAAATTTCTCTTCTGACCAAACTTTATATGAACAACATCACATTCATGTGGCTTATCTTCTAAATGCATTTTCAAATGTGTATATAAGTTACATTGATAAGAGAACCTTTTATTACAAACACTACTTATGTATTGCTTATCTCTTGAGTGCTCTTTTTTATTTTTACTGAAATTACAACTTTGAGAAAGATTCTCATGGTCACCATCATATTCAACTTGCTTATTTCCTTCTTGAGCTGTTTTATGTTTACTTGAGTTAGAACTTTGAGAAAACCTTTTGTGTTTGTGACTAGAAACAATCTGATATCTTTTGTCTCTAGAAAACTGGAGATTTTCTTCAACTTGAAGTTCAAGCCTTTTTTGTTTTTTATCCTCAAAAAATAAAAATCCTGTCAATAAATCTGGTTTTGAATCTTCACAAGTTGATAAAGTTGTGACTTCTGATTTGTTATCTTCAGATGTTGATAATGTTGATACAGAAGGCTTTTTATCTTTACAAATTAAAAACTCAGATGTAACATCAGGTTTAACATCTTGCAAGCTTATAAATGATTTGTTGGGTGTAAATTTATCAAAAGATGAAAAACTTGAAAATTCTGTTTCTGTGTCTTTAGAACATGAAAATTCTGGTGTAGTATAGGGTTTAACATCTTGAGAAGCTGTGAATGTCATGTTGGGTTTTGCATCAACAATAGATGAAAATGTTGTAAATTCTGTTTTTATATCTTGAGAAGATGAAAATATTGTTGATAGATCTGGTTTCAAATCTTCAGAGTTTAAAAATTCTGTTAATTTGTGTGACTGTTCATCTACAATAGATAACATTGCAGCTAAATGCTCTGTTTCCTCTTCCATTCTTGACTGCTTTTGATAAATCAACTGATGATTAAAAAAGTTAAAGTTAAAAGTGGTGATTATAAAGTCAGAATAAAGTATTATTATTAAAATGGCAAAATTAATGGCAGATGTGATCTAAAAACAGATTGCCAGTAATGCCATGGGGTTCCATGACAAATGATCTCAAGGACAAATGATATCACGGACAAAATATATCAGGACAAATGATCTCAGACAAAATATCTCACAGGAAAATTTTAATAGTGTAGTTGATGATTTTAGTTGATCTGAACTTTTTTTATTGACAGTTAATATCGGTTGTTTACTTTTTTACGCATAATAATTGTGAATAAAATGAATTTGTTAAACCTAACAAGCCATCAAAAGATTTATCAAACTTTGTCGTAGCATTTGATTCGAAAAAGTAAAAATTACAACAAACTTACTCCTTTAGCCTGAAAGGTATAATAAATGATAATGTATAAAACAAATAAAGTAATGGTTGTTATACAACATTAAGGTTCAAAACATGCGAAATATTTCTCAAAAATGTGAATGGGTCTTCAGGTTCGTGACGTTAAACTATTGTTTTTATAGCATCATCAACCCAAACATAACGTTTACGTTTCTTTGCTGGTACACTGTTTTGATCACACCTCTCCAATACTATGTGATCATCTATTGTGTGAACTCTTGCTCGACATGTTCGCTGTTTGTTTAAATAAGTATTTGTCACCTGATCATTAAGGTGTGACCGACGCATAACTATTGACTTTAGATGAGAGTTGTATTGTCCATGGAGGGTGGATGTCTTTCCCTTAAGGCATGTCTCTCCTATCAAAGCGGGCTGCAACCTTGAAATGAAGGTGTGTCTTTATTGTTATTTCATTCTCTTTGATCTAGTTTCGTCCACCTGACGTGGTAGGATTGTCTCATGTTTGTCAAGCTCACCTACGCTGTCTATCGAAAAAAATCTTTAATCTTCGTATACTATATTACTAATACTAACTTAAAAATGTTTAGTGCAAAATGACAAATTTATACTCCAAACATTTCTTACAATTATTATATAGGCCTATAAATAATATTAAAACTTAATAAACAAAACCATATGACAGTCAATAAAAAAATATTTCAGATCAGCTAAAATCATCAACTACACTATTAAAATTTAGGTGAGAGATATTTTGTCTGAGATCAATTGTCCGTGGTATCATTTGTCCTGATATATTTTGTCTTGGTATCTTTTGTCCGTGAGATCATTTGTCCTTAAGATCATTTGTCCTGAGATCATTTGTCCTGTCACCTGATAGGGCTATCATTAGATTAGGACTGCATATTAATATTCTTTAAATATTCTTAAAAAACACAAATGTGTAATCCAGTACTGCTAATTTTGGCTAACAATTGAGGAAGTACCAAATGTGCTTAAATCCTCTCACATCCAGTAGAGGTTATATATATTGTCACTTGGTTGGCAGGAAATAAGAACAGTGTTTATTTCTTTGAACAGATGAGAGAAAATATTGCATATTTCTTCGAACATAAGACTTAATTGGCAGATAAAAAACAATAACACATTTTATATGTCAAAAGATACTTGTTTCATTAATTCAGCTAAAATTCAAAATATTTGTATTGAAAAAAAAATTAATGCTACTTTCTTAGACAATTTCAAGCCCTGACCTTTTTTTTTAACTTAGCCATTAACCCTCAACCCAACCCTTGACCCTAAACTTAAGATATAATGCATTAGAGAAATAAAATATTAATATCATTAGCACTAATAACAAAAAAACTCAAAACAGGTTTCAAGTGCAAAACCCATACTTGATATTTCTTCACACTAGCGATTGTACCATGCAGTGCTCGAAATAAATAGTAAAAATAATAATAATATATAAAATTAAACAAACCTCTCTTAATAATTCTAAAATATACACTTCAATTAAAAATTTCTAAAAATATGTAAGCCTACAAATAGAAGCAAAATATAACCTCAAGATGTGAGAGGATATAAAAATAATGTATTTTATCTATTGTTGGTGGCTATAAAATAAGTATTTCCATTTAATACATTATTCAAGTATCTAAAAAAATATTAGTAATTCCTAAAAATATACTTGCATGGCAAATGGTCATGTGATCTGTTTGTCTTTTTTGTACATTATAACAAGGCTTTTTAGGTGCACAAACAATTGAGCAAAAAAAAGTTACATAGCTTCTCATTAGTTCCCCATGATTCTCTAGGCCTGTAAGTTATTATAAAAAATTTTGCTGCCACAAAACATAGTCTACATTTAGCGACTTTTTCAATAACATTGTCTGCTTGGAACATGTTTGCAAAAAAAAAATAATTCTTTAATTCAATTATTTACATTCAGCTATTGCATGTAGCATTTGTTTTTCAAGTTAGAGACTAAATAGTAAAGGCCAAGGTTATTCCCACCTGGTTGAGAATAGCAGTATTTGGGTTATTTCCAGCAGACTAGGAATAGCATCCACTGCTATTCACAGTCAGCTGTCATTTTTGCTAAATACGACTGGGAATAGGCCTAATATTTTACGATAACAAAAGCATTTATTGTGACTGGGGAATGAAGTATCATTGTTTCATAAAAAATTTTTTTTTTAGTTTAGCCTTTAGTTCATATGTGCTGCGTAGTATGGAGGTCTTAGTCTCAGTGATCAATTATAGACTCTAACTAAATCTATACTAATCAACCAGGGCTTTCTATCTGCAAATATGTCAGCAATCATGTCACAAATGGAAAAAAAAATTGAAAATATTAACCCTTTCATTAACAATTGCAAAAAATACAATTTGGACAACAGGTGGTCTATATCACATGCCATCCATAAAAAAGTATTTGATGGGTTCAAACCCACACTATCTGGCATGGTAACCAGCCATATGTCCACTTGACCACACTGCTTCATCAACATTTGGGCATTTTTAACAATAAATGTATAAAACAAAACAGTCACAACTGCAAATAGCCTTATTACAGCTATTTACAGTTCAACAGTTGACTGGAAATAGACACTTTGAATAGTAAATAGACTAGATCAATATAAAAATATTGAATCAACACTAACCCTAGCATTTTAACTTATTATTTACTTATGTATATAGCCTTAATACAATGTTAAGGAGGGAGCTTTTGGTTGGCCAATGTGAATGGGCAAAATAGGAAATCATGTTGAAAGCTATCACTATTCTTTCACTATCACTGACTTTCAGTGATAGTCTTTCAAGCAAGAAACATTTAAATAAATTGTTTTCCTTTAATTTCATCATGATTTGTGTGCAGATCAAGAATAGATCTAGATGTTTTATAATACAGTGTTAATAAATTCATAGAAATTAAAATTTTGTAAAAGTAGGGCCTATTGAAAATATTGGAACTGTAACAAAGGAGAGATAGCGAGCATCGGCCGTGTTTATATTTACAGCCTCTAGATCTTTTCTAGATCTAGTAAGTTACAAACTGAGGCAAGACCACATGACGCAGAAGGAAAGTCCATTAAATTATAATATAAAACAATCGGCCCTAAAACAAAAAATTCAATCTAAACAGGCCTATAGCCAGTATAGGGGGAATTTATCTACCAGTGTCAGATAATAGAATCTTATATTATTTAAAAAGGGGGTGTTAGGTTAATGCAATTAATAATGGTAGGGTAAAATCTCGATATAGCGTCGGTTATTAGTCCGGAACTGTACAGCACTAAAAAACAGTAAAACCATGGCGTAGTCAGTCGAGCCTTTACAGAAACCACCAGAAATACTGTAAACCATCATTTATTTGCCGCCATATTATTGTTAATACATAATGTTTAAAAATGTGCAAGGATTGATTTTAGTTGCATTTTAAATAGTTTTGCTAATTATTTTATAATTATTTTAAGTGTATGTGCTGATTATTGCTGCTACTAAACATTATTCTAGTTCTTCTTACTACTTTTAACTTTAGTAAATCTAATCGTCTTATTTTACTAACAGAACTAGAGCTGGTTGTGGCAAATCTTCTGCAGGTTTTTTCTGTGTTTCTTAAAAAAAAAAAAACATTAATTAATAATTACTACACTCGACTTTATTAATAATATTTAGATTTACTAATTGTTGGTAATTTTTTGTCAGTTAAACATTAAATTAAGTTAAAACATTAATTTAATGCACTTGACTTAATTTTTCTTTCAACGGTCAAATAAACTATGGTTTACAGTAACAAATGTTACAGAAAAACAACGAACATTACCAAATAATTTCCTACGCTATATCGTGATTTTACCAATGGCAGTTATCTAAAACTAAATACACATGTGACATTGCTGACTGATGTCAATGCTAACCCTGTCCTTAAGCCTTAACTCTTAACCCTAACCCCAAACCTAGTTACTATAAGTAGTTTGTCCTACCATACCCCTAACTAACATTTCTAATCATAAAATTATGATAAAATCTATATATATAATTCTCTTCTGGGATCAGTTAGAAAACAAGCTGCAAGCGCGCCTTTGCAGACCCCTCTCTATCACTATCACTACCACCCCACCCCCACATGATCTGGTGAGCGGTGTTCACTCTGTTTACATTTTACAATCACAGAGACGGGTTTGGTGACGGCTATTAGGGGCAGATAATTTAGTTTGAAACGATTTTAAACTTAGAGGAAAGCAAATATTTTCAATGGCAGCATTGGTACTGTCGAATTCACAAATTATAAATTACTGAAAAGTAGAAAAAAAACAACTAAATAGCGGCATATGATACGCAGCGGGTCGGCTCGTAAATATTAAATAATAATAAAATAAATTAGTCGAGAATATTAGAAGTCTAGGTAATCTATCGTTTTGGGTACGTAAAATCGCCCGCGATTTGTAATGTGAAAAACAGGTGACTCCTTAAATTTTAATAATTATTTCACATTTTGAGGAGGATTTATGACTTAAAAAATTTAAAAATATTTCCTTGATTCATTTATGTACCTGTTTTTAAACAATTGAATTAAAACTTTTCCGTAATAAATGAAGACTAGCGATGTTTCCAACAGATGCAACCATGCTCATTTACTAGAGCAGCCATCTTGTCTAAGTTTTATTTTTATAAGCTTTAGCGCCAGATTGAGGGGGAAACCACTCTATTTTACAAATGGCTGCTGTTTAATTGTTTATATAGTAGCCAATATAATATAGCAAATCTTGCTCTCAGACACTGCTGTTTAAAGTTAATTTCTGGCCTATATCGATATATTTAGCCATTGATTTAGGTTTATTATTCATTTATCTATAATATTTGACACAAAAGTATGACAATATACTTCTATTAAAGCCTTGACAATGAAGTAACGTTTTCGTACATAAATAGCCGCGGGCGATTTTACGTACCCAAAACGATAGATTACCGAAGTCTAGAACTACTAACAACCCAACACACCTGATTTATGGATGAGTCTATTATCGGACATCGGTATCTAAAATCATCCTGAATGAATATTACCATGCAATCGCCAGATAATAAAATAACAGCTAAACGGATAAGTTTGTCTGAATTACCAATCTCGACAACATCCGAAAAAAGGAGCCATCTTTTTTTAAAATGCGCCGTATTTCACAGAAAGCGCCGGTAGGTGGCGCACAGGTTAGCAACAAAGCGACGTGTAAAGCGTTAAGTGGCGAAACGGAAGTAAAGAAATTTTAGTATTGTCCGTATTGGCGAAATTCTTTTTTGGGATTTAAAATATTAGATACGAGCCGGCCCGCGGCATAACATACGCCGCTATTTAGTTGTTTCTAATTTTCAATAATTCATAATTTGTGAATTCGACAGTACCAACGCTGACACTGAAAATATTTCTTTAAAACACTATAAAAGTAGCTCGTTAAGGACCATAACCCCCCCCCCCTTCCTTCCCCCCCTCCCCCCCTACGTTTAAAATCGTTGGCTCTGCTTGTAAACATTTAGAGTGAACACAGCTCACTAAAACCATGTAGGGGTGGGGAGGTAGGGAGAGCGTTTGCAGCTTGTTTTCTAACGGCTCGAAGAGGAGAATTATATATATAGATAGATTGATTATACTATACTTATAGTTATAACCGTTTTTGATTTCCTCAAAATATATCACAAATGCAATATGTAATTTTGTGTATTGAAAAAAGGATAATCGCAGCGCAAATCGTTGTTACAAAATAATCGGACGTGTTAATACTCAATTATTATACGGAGAAAAAATGTCTAAAATATGAACCGAAACAAAAAATACTGAAATAAAATAAATATTATTTTTGTTCGTGTTTTTTTTTAATTTACAAAAACTGAAATCATCATTTAAAAGCACAGTTAAGGTCATTTTTACATGCTTTTATTTAACTTAACTCCTCGTTCTTTTTTCGTCATGTCTGGGTCAGAGTTTCTTTCAGGCATCTCTTCTTGGGGGGAGGGTGATTTAATGGATTTTATATAGAAAACATACGTTTACCAGTGTCCGCTTACCCCCCCCTCCCAGGTGAAAAAAAAATCTGGAAGAAACACTGGTCTGGATGGAAACTTTTCTAACAAAATTACACCCGAACCGATGTGTTTTAAACTTGAATGTACTTAGGTTAAGATCTGATAATGCAATGTGCCACGAACTTTGACATAATTAGAGATGTTTCGTTCCTTTTTAAAATCAATTAAATATTCCTATGGCCTATAGTGCACACTTGCTTATAATTTAAGGCCTATATCTAATATATAAAGCTCAGTTCTGTATGTAAAACTACATATGTATATCGTTGACATACTTCCATGGATTAAAGTGTTAGAATATTACCGTGCGCATTTGTCTAAATTTATGAGTTAAAAAATTACCATTGAAAGTGTTGGGAAATAATTTTCATTTTTCAAACTGAAAGTAATAATTGTCGGCATGTTCATTAACACAATTTTTAAAAAAAATATCATCTTTTACAAAAATTCTAATTATGTCTTTTTTTAGTCCTATGGCGCTTACTTCCCTTTGATAAATTAGGAAAACACAATTACTTCCCTTTATAAAACCATTGCATTAGTGGAAAAGCATTTACTTTTTATTACTTTGTTTTGGTGTTGGGAAAAAAATAATTACATAATTAGCGGGGATTGATCAAGTGCAAATGTTGTAGGTATTTTACGGATAAGCTTGGAGTATTATAATTGTTCATTAAATTGAAACAGGCGCGTTCGTTTAAGTGAGTGCAAAAACTATGAATAAGTTGGGGTACTATAGTCGTTTATTAAGCTAAAACAGGCGATTCTACCCCGGGCGTTTATGTTCGCGTTTTCTTTGTGTTTAGGTGGGTTTGCGTTAGTGGTTGCGTTTTGATTTGGTTCGTTTTTGTTCTTTCTTTTTTTCGTTTTTGTTTGTGTTTTTTTCTTTGGGTTTGTATTTGAGTTTTTGGTTGGTTTTGCGTTTGGATTTGGTTTGTTTTCGTTTGCTTTTTCGTTGTTTTTTTGTGTTGGTATTGGTGTTTGTGTTTGGGTTTGTTGTTAGGTTTTTGTTTTCGTTTGCTTTTTTGTTTGTTTTTTCTTTGTGTTTGTATTGGTGTTTGTGGTTGTGGTTGGGTTTGTTGTTAGGTTTTTGTTTTCGTTTGTATTTGTAATTGTGTTAGCGTTATGTTTGCGTTTTGTTGTTTTGGTTTTGGTTGGTTGTGGTTTGGGTGGGCAATGCCGGGTATAGAATGATTACTAAACACACAGGTAATGGTCTTTAACAGAAAGGTTTTATTACAGAAGCCAGAGCAGGGCCTGGCCGGGACGGCTAGTATAATAAATATAGGCTTTTTTTACTTTCTCGTATATACGTAGTATAGAGAAAGTATTGTAATCGTGCAAAAAAAAAAAATCGAGATTTTTACAAATCTCGACGTTTTACACCTCACTGATACGGAAAAACATAATTTTGCAATCTTGTCCGTATGTCTGTGTGTGTGTGTGTCTGTCTGTCTGTCTGTCTGTCCGTGTGTAAACACGATAACTTGAGTACCGTTACAGCTAGGTTGATGAAATTTCATATATAAGTATTTTATCAAAATCGTAGATCCGTATCAACTTTTGAGCGATTTCCGATAACCGGAAGTGGTACTTTTCCTACTTTGAATTTTTCAAAAGCCTATAACTTGAGTACTATTTCAGATAGATAAATGAAATTTCACATGTAAGTAAAAGATCTAATTCTCTACCTTCTGTTAAATTTTGAGTAATTTCCGTTGACTGGAAGTAGTAATTTACGCTACTTCCGATTTCTCAAAAAACTAATGTAAATTTTTAAAGTACTAATAATATTGCGCACTATTATACGCGTTTTTATTCGGCGTTTGCTTGGTGCGCAATGTTTTTTTTATGAGATTCTATTCTATTTTTAAAAGTTTAAGTATTTAAAATGGATTAAAAATCATAACTATATCCCCAGTTACCATCCCCTGTTGTTTTATATAAGAATATTCGAGAAAGTTTAGGGGAGATCACTACCGGTTTATTAAAAAAAGAAATACGTAAATAGTAACAAAATATATGCTTGCACTAAACAGATGTAGATCTAGAATCTAGATCTAAAACATAATGACAAAAAATTATTGTTACACTTTAAACATATCATTGGATTATATTTACATAACTGCTCGTGACTATATATACACCCTTCTCCAATGCTTAATATACATACAACCCATGCTTTATTTTATTTAGTTGGTTATATAAAATATGGTGCATTATTTATTATGTTTAAAGCTGAAATTGGAATTCTCCGACCAAGTTTAAACTTAGAATTATTTTTATTTTTTCAAGCTTTTATTTAACTCACTTTCTCTTCAGTCGTCAGTCAGTCGTCAGACTGTCTAGATCGAAACGACGGAGTTAAATTGCAGGCACTTCTACGTGACAGATACGGTTCATAGTTTGTAAGCAGAGTTTCTTCAAGGCATCTCTTCGGGGGTGCGAAGCCCCCACGAAAAAATTCTACCGCCCCCTGAACGAAATGAAATGTATATAATTTATATAGAAAATATATACTTTTAACAGTGTCCGCCCCCCCCCCCCCCCGCGAAGAAAGTCTACCGCCCGCCCCCGAAAATTTCTAGTGCCCCCCGGATAAAAAAGTCTGGAAGAAACACAGTAAGTGGGTCAAGACATGAAGACAAGGCATCGTGACATTCAGTTTGACTAAATTGGTCGCATAATTAATGTTTTTATAAATTAATTAAAATTTGGACCGAATTAGTAGGCTGTTCTGTCCACATGCGTCATCACGGCAAAAGCGCGTCATCACATTCGATAGGCGCACAATGGTTTTTAGTCATGCAACTCTAGTATAAATAAAACATGTAAAGCACTAAATTTTTTAAAAAAAAAAACGTTTTAATAACAATCTTTGACTAGACTACCTGTTATCTAGTTAGATAACTGTGTGTTTCGGGGGTCATCCATAAATGACATCACGTCTGTCACTCATCATCACAAAATAACCAGACCCCACAAATTCAAAAAGACGTTTTTTTATCTTTTAAAAACACCGATTTCGGTTGAGCATAGGTCTGACCACACTATCCCTTTATATACTGACGTCACATGTGACCTACTTAAATCTACTTCATCTTCCCAGTGTTCGGCCAAGTCTCAGACAACATGTTCTTGTCGTTTAAAAAAACGATTCAGGCCGAGCATGTCTCTGACCACACTATCCCTTCATATTCTTAGGACAAGGAAGCAGTTGAACTCTACTTCACCTGCCCTGTATCCCGCCAAGTTTAGATAGGCAACTTTATCATTCACATTTTTAAAAAATTAAATTTAACATTGACGTGATGTGTCTAGAACCCGTGCCAACCGCATGAAAGCCTATTACACTGACAACTTAGCTATCTAGATTCGAGACGTCATTGATGTATTTTTGTGTTATAATTTAATACTTCGAGTTTCCATATGCAACATTTTTTGCGCGCATAGGCCTTATCTAGATTTAGTAACTTTCAAATTAAATTTTATCTTAAATTAGCAAATACCATAGCTAAAAAAAAACAAAGATTTATATAAAACTAGCCGTCCCGACCAGGCCCTGCTCTAGCCTCTGTGAAAAAGAAGCTATCTGTTAAGGACCATTACCTGTGTGTTTAGTAATCATCAAATACCCGTCATTGCCCATCCTAACCACAACCAACCAAAAAAAAAAACCGCAAACATAACGCAAACACAATTGCAAATACAAACGAAAACAAAAACAAAAACCTAACAACAAACGCAACCACACCACAAACACAAATACCAAGAAAAAACAAACAAAAAAAGCAAACGAAAACAAACCAATTCGGAATGCAAACCCAACCACAAAACAACACAAAGACAACACAAAGACAACACAAACATAACACAACACAAACACAAATCAAACACAAACACAACACAACACAACACAAACACAACACAAACACAACACAAAACAACACAACACAGTTTCTAATACTGTTGACTCTCTACAAGCTCCCTAATAAAAGTCAATAGTATTATCTAATCAATAGTAATATAACTTTTACTTCGGCGCCCCACGTTTTTCATCGCTTATAGTAGAGTGATCGCTTGCATTATTGTGATGTATAGCATTTATTTTCTACTTTTTAGTTCAATCAGAAAACGTGGGTTTTTAAAAACTTTTTTATTGATAATTATTTTCTTCTTTGTTCTAAATTTTAATGTTACCCTTGGAGGGGATTTTTCCTACACCAATGAAATGTTACGATTACGGATTTCAGCCTTGCTGTCTTTCTGAATTTGCTTCAATAGCCTTTTTCTACCTAAGAACAATCTACAAAGCAGCAGTTATTTGATTTTGGAGTTTTCTAACGTACATGGGTTGCTGACCAAAGTTAACTAGCGTATGTGTTTTGTTAACAATACTTACTTGCTTGTATGAATTTTTTTTACTTACTTGTGTTATCATTAATATTTGGAAACCGTTTATGACATTTAATAAACATTATCTATGTATCGTTTTATGTTACTCAATTGGTTTTAAACTTACATTCTATATACATGAAAAAACATACTTTTTAAAAATGAATTTTTAAAATTTTAAAGTTTATTTTTTTAAAATGTATTGTTACGTTATTGTAACTGATCAGAGAAAATGATTTTGTTTGATCTAAAAAAAGCAGAAAAAAAGACCATCGTGGCAAGACCCTTGGTAAAGAAAACCATTTTAAAATGTGTTAAAAAATGTAAAGAATCACAACAGAAATATATATCTGAAGAGCTCAGAGCTGTTATTTTGGACAACTTTTATTGTATTGCAAGTGCTTGGAATGTAACATCGATGATTTTTCAGTTCTGAGATAAAATATGCAAAACAGATGATGGATCTTCAACACCCCCCCCTCCAACCCGTTCTAGTTAAGTACAACAACGATGACATTGTCAAATACCTACTCAACGATTACCAACTATTGTACACACGCTTTAAGTAAAGTGTATCATAGATCAACCCTTAAAATACTGAGACATGTTATTGTATGAACCAGAAAACATTTATTAATCAACTAAAAATAAACAACTATATATAGCCTACATACAAATCCCGCAGCTAGGCTGGAATCTATAGAAGTATGGAAAACACAGCGCGTAGTGAAAATATAGAAAAAACTCCAAACTGTTTTTTTAAATTTATCTTTAATAAACCAACACTGACTCCAATAGTTTAAATCTACAGAGAAACCTTATTACACATCTAAACCCAATTATGAAAATAAAAAATTGGTATTCTTTTTAAAAATCTTAAATAAAGTATTACTTAAAAATGCATCATAATTCAACGTATTTCAATAACAAAAACGTGTATTTACTTTTCCTACAAATTCAGAAAAAGAATCTACATTAAGCTGGGTTTTTAAAAGTTATTTTGACAAAATTGTTTCACTTGTTACTCTTGAAAATTTAATAATTTTTATTTGTGCTTTGCACAATAGCATTAAAAAAAAACCCAGAAAAAATACTTGGCCCAAACAAACCAAGACAACATTTTATTTCAAGAGAAGATTAAGCAGTTTACTAAATCCATTGTATGAAGGACGGAAGTCTTATAACTCAAAACTGTGAAAGGAAACACATTTACAACCGTGTCAATGATACTTTATAAAAAAGATCCCATTACAGCGTGTTTTAATGCAGCTTTTTTCGAGCCCGGAGAAAGCAGAAACAGATTATTTTAGTTAATTTGGTTTTTAGTATTAGTTTATTTATTATTGTTATTGTAAACAAAAATTGCAACTGTATGTATTAGTATTTGAAATAGTGTGCGTATCTAATATATATATATATATATATATATATATATATATATATATATATATATATATATATATATATATATATATATATATATATATATATATATATATATATATATATATATATATACACACAGACATATATATATATATATATATATATATATATATATATATATATATATATATATATATATATACATATATACATACATATACATACATATAAATATGAAGACCAAAATGTTTCAGCTAGCTATATATATATATTTATATTTATATTTATATATATATATATATATATATATATATATATATATATATATATATATATATACATATATGAAGACCAAAATGTTTTCGATAGGGGTCTCGTTCAACCGCCCCTGGTAACAGATATAGCCGTATAAACGAAAATGAAACCGAAAAATATCATTGGACCTTCTAATGTTTAAAAATAAAAACTTGAAACTTGAAAAGTTTCGCTTTCAGTATGTGAATACCTTACACTAGCAATACTGCATACTACATAATTTCGGGGATTCATTATTGAAAGATCTCTAGGAACTGTTTAAGATGACATCTTTAGCATCATTTCAGTGCACTATCAGGCGTATCTCATAAAATAAAATAACGATTAAATACAATTACTTTTAAATCTAGTTCTTTAACACTTCGGCTATCCAGGTCAACCTTTTACACTGCTATTTCATTATTTACAACAATGTATCAGTCAAGTATCAGTTTTGTTGGATTCGGTACCATGCAATCATCTGTTAACGGTAAGTTGTTTTCACTAGAAAAACTTATTAAATATTATTAGATCTAGTAAAAAATGAACTATAAAAACAAAGGAAAATAAAATGTATTGCCTAATATAGTTCATTTTAAAAATACTTTAGTTACTAGTACATACTGTTTTATCTAGAACGTACACAGTGGTCATTTTATAAAGTTATATTTAAAAGCATAGATTCAAGCGTTTTTTTTAATTTTTCAGGTACACAGCGAAGCCGAGACATATGTGAATATTTTAGGTAACAATGTTAAAAATAATGTTTGTTTATTGTTCGTTTACTAACTACATTTAAAAAACAAATACGTTAGTTCTAATGTTTGTTTAAATTGCTTTTTAAAAATACAATCAATCATTATTAATAAGTTAGTTTTCCAAGTACACTAATTCTACTTAGAGTACACTCCAAAATACACCCAAGAGGAGTTTGCGGCCATCATCAAATTTTAAATATTACATGGGCGTCACCACGGCAGTTTTGTAATTTGGGCGCTCAGAAATAGCCATATTTTTGCTATTCTACCAAATGGGGTCCGATGATTGAGCTGCAAATGGGTTCAAAGATACTTTGTCAATTAACGGCGCGGTCGATTTGGTAAATCTCAAGTGTTTCTTCCAGACTTTTTTCTCCCGGGGGTGGGGCACTTGATATTTTCGGAGGGCGGACAACATTTTCTAGGGGGGGGGGAACCGACACTGGTAAAAGTATTTGTTTTCTATAAAGATTTCATTTCATTCGGGGGGGGGGGGGTAATAGACTTTCTTCGGGAGGGGGGGGGGAGTTTGGGTAGCTTTGCCTGGTAGAAACTCTATAGAGCTCGTGGTTGCTAAACCGAGCAGTTACGAGTTCGAACTTTTGGGTAGATGAGGCTCGATAGCTGGGGAAAGTTACTCTTCTAGGAGAGATAACTCTATAATCAAACTGCCGTTGTTTATTCTCAGTTGGACAAAGTCTAGGGAAGCAAATACAAAAAGAAAAGCAGGTAGAAATCTAAATCAACAGCCAATATGGCGCGTAACAAGTTGGCACGTAATACTTAATTCTGTAGAGTGGGAAATCCTTCCAACTCTAAAATTAAGAACGAAGTAGAAGAAAAAGAGTTAAGTGCCAAAATATACCAGGTATCTCATATGTACGTCACGCAGATGGAAGTATGATCCTCAATGCCCCTGACTCTCCCTTGAACACTGTTGTGGATACATTTGTTTTAAAAAGTGCACATTGCACTTGGGATAAATAAAAATGTAATATGTCTGATTGTTTCTAATTATTATTGTCAATGATTCATAATAACTTTCTGTCCATAACTTTCTACATAACATTAATAAATGTAACATATGTCCAACAGGGAGCTAGGGATCGATCCTACAGACTTCTTGATGCCTGAAGTAGATATGGATATAGCCAGAGGTATTTTCAAATGTTTTCAAAGTAATATGGGAAACTTTACCGATTTGACGGTCAACGTTGGCAACACAAAGTTCAAATGTCACAAGTTTGTGTTAGGTTCCTGCTCTGGATACTTTGAGGTTTTCGCAAGAGATAAATCTGAATCAAGCTGTACAGTATATGGAATCTTACCAGAAACATTTGCTCTTATACTTGATGCTATTTATAAAGGGACGAACGTTTTAAATGAAGGTAATATGCTGCAAATCTGGCATGCCGCAGATCGACTGGGGATCAATTTGTTATTAATGGTATGTGAAAAGTTTGTGAAAAGTAAGATAACGGTTCTGAACTATAGAGATGTTTTAACGATGGCGAAAATATTGGCCTCATCAACTGTTATGGCAAAGATAAAGGAAGTGTTGGTAAAATCGTACTTCGAGCTAGTATGCTTGGATGATTTTATGAAAGTTTCACAAAAAGAATTGATGGAGATTCTTAGGAGCAATCAGTTAAATGTATGCCCGGATTTCCGTGTTTATTCCGTCTTGAAATGGGCAAGCGCTGATTATAATTCAGCTCACTTTACAGTGCGGATCATTGGAAGTTCAAATGAAAAGAACTTTAACGACGCTGCAACTGTGTGGGTCCGCAGACTTTGCCTTCATCAGCTACTCGCTATAATCCCACTCCAGAACATCTCAACTGACTGCCTCTCGCAGCTAATGAACAACAAATACATTCTAGAAGACAAAAATGCAATGGGAATCGTAAACGGCATTGCATCAAGAAGGCTTGATGTCTATGCTTATGAGAGAAACAACAGGTATGAAGAATGCAAACACTGCAATGGGTGGGGGAATTACAGTAGATACGGACGAAGCAGATACTTCAATCAAAGAGCTCTACCGTCTCGTTCTTCTAGATGGGACTATTAATTTAGTTTTCAAAATTTAGACAAAAGCTTGATGGCTCAAGTTGAGTAGAAAAACCAAAAACTCATGTTAGTAGTTCGATATTTGATTAGTAAATATTTTATTATAAACCAAAAGAAATGGGTATGACCAAATAAAGTAAATAGTTTTAACTTTTATAGAAGTGAAATTTTTGTTAGGCAACAGGTCTGTATAGTTTTAAAGAAGGATTGATTGATATTAAAGTCATATCGCCTTACTCTAGTACCGTATTAATACTGCTATCTAATGCGATAACTGTTTTTTGTCTAAGGTTAGGTTAGTGCCCCCATAGTTAAATGTTATATAATACACCATTGTTAAATTGTATTAATGTTATATAATACCTTGGTCATACTTAGGGTACAGTAGAAAATTTATTTATTTATTTTTCATTTTTGTTTTGTTTACTTTACATGTAGTCCATTAGATATATTATTTTTTAAAATGAATATCATACTTACTTTAGCAAAGAAAATATAATGATTTTATTAACCATTTAAATAAATTTATTGATTTTTTTCACTAAATAGGATATTGTTATTAACACTTACAATAATTTTATATCATTTTTTATAATTAATACAGTTTACCTACAACTTTAAATTCTCGGCTTCTAGTTTTACCATTAAAATTAAAACTGTATATAAAGCTTTAAAAATAACTTGACTAGCTGCATTTTTAAAATTTATATATATTTTTATATTCATATTTAAATCTACAATAATAAAAGAAAATATTACTTACATAACGTGTACTTAACTGCATTCTTGTAGCTTAGAACTCATTTTTGTCATACATTTCTAATTAGTTATGCTTTTGTGTGATCTGTTTTGTTGAGAAATATACTAATTTAAGTGTTAAATTACACAATACAGGTCTTACATAACATGGATATAAATGGCGTTTTTTAAAAGAATTACAGTTTTAGAGATTGAGTTTAAACCTTGATATAAGTAAATTAAATGTACTTCGTAGATCGAGCCTGATAGATCATACGTATTTTAAGAAGTAGGCCTACATTCGTCGTAGCCTTGTCAGGTATTCTGTCTGAAACAGCTGTTGAAAAGAAAATCAGGTTTGATTTTTGGCATCCTTTATGACCTGAAATCTAATGTATTTTTTTTCTAATAATAGCCGCAGGGATGAGAAGGAATATTTTCAACTTTATGGCTCCAAACAAGGCTTCCAAGATAACGTTGACGTCACGCTAACTGACTCAGTAATCAGCAATGTCGGTGCTTTGATCACGTTTCAAATGTATTACATAAATCACATAGTACACATACGCGGCTTATACAACTTGTAACAACATGAATATTGTTGATTGGATGATACTGTTGTTATTGTGGGTTCGTTCATCCACGAATACGATCAACAGTGCTTTGTAACTTCAAACTTTATTTACATTGATCCATAAAAAAAATTAATAATATTCCACAGTAGAAAAATGACCATTACATTATAGTCTAGAACAAACTGACGTGTTGACATCTTACATTTTACTACACAGTCACAGGCAAGCACCCTCGTTCACCTTGCGCTCCCCCTTTTATACACAATTTTCTCTCCCCTTACGTCAATGAGCGATCTCACAAAAGCATGGAAAAATACACGACGAGTCGCTCAGACAGTCCTTCCGTTAGCCAGGTGCTCTAAATTCATGCAACTTCATGTAAAACACAATATAATAAACATTCTCAATAATACAGTCTCTGAAATTATACAATACATTTCTCTAGATCTACAGATCAGCTGTCGAAGTAAGAAAATGTTATGAATCTAGAATTCTAGATCTAGATCTAAATCTAGGTCACAAGACTTAACGTAAATTCTAGATCTAGACTTAATGTAAATTCTACACCTATTATCTATTTCAGGCCTTAATTATTTATATAAATCTTTGTTTAGCTTCAATGAACATCTAATTCGAGAATGCATGGGATTTATCTATCTAGGTTCTTGATCTAGATATAGTAGGATCATTCGCAAACTTGGAGGCGTGGTCGGTTGCTAACAACAATGGCGTCCGGAGCGGACGCATGACTTCCGACCATTTTTAGGCCATGTTTACCACGAGCAAAATGGCGGGTTTTCACGTTAGAGTTAGCAATTTAGAGTCTGAGCTTATGTTATGCACATTCGTTTATTTTATTTTAAATGCAAAGTTATAGTTCGGCCATTGGACATGAAGAAGTTGCATCGCCTCTGCTTACTCATAATTAACTGTTAATTTCTTTAGTTTTTCCTTCGATGCCCACTTCGTTCACAAAAATCTTTTCATAAAATCCAATTGTAACGTTTCTTATACGCGGCTGCGCAGTTTGTTTTAAAAAGTTAAACTGGTGTTAAGTAAGGAGATAACTAATGAAGAAAATATTTAATATCCCTTAAATGCATATAGCTACAGAGCTGCAACATACCAGTTACTTTTCTATGAAATAATAGCCTAAGCATGTTTGATTCTGTGCATCGCGTTGTTTGACTGCTACATAGTTAACCATACAGCCTGCACATTTCTAAGTGACCTAGAGTTTTACTATCGTCAAGCAAATCTCAAATTCGTGCATACATACGTTTTCTATCCTAGCATTTGTCATTGGTGTTTCGAAGTTTAGCGAAATTGGATAAACATGTATTGGGATTTTTAAAAATATATTTCTTATTACTTAAGGCTAGTATTACATACTGTTTGTGTTTTTTTAATCAATTCATAATTTATTTATAAATAAACACAAAATCATTGTTGCAGTACTGCAACTTCATACATGTTGGCCTACTTTTTCACTATTTTTTTTTCTTTCAGCCAGGACCCTGGATCTCCAGGACCCGTGTGAACCCTTGAAATCCAGAACCAGTTTGGACCCTGGATATCCTGGACCAGTATGGACCCTGGATCTCCAGGACCAGTGTGGACCTTGGATCGCCAGGACCAGAGTGGACCCTGGATATCCCAATGGCATCTTTTATCTTTGTTGTAACAAGATCAACTACTGTCTTAAAAATTATCTCCTTACTACATAATTGTTGCAGACATGCAACAATTAGTTTTTTAATTAAAGCACATGTTTAAACTAAAATTATTTTTTACTTGATTATACTCTCCACATAACCACTAAAACAATATAAATATTTTTTCAAGCATTTTTAAAAATCATGTATTTAAGGGATATATTACCTTGCGTTTTATTGGTACATCTTGCTTGAAGCTGTCCAGTAAACACTCTGTATTGTTCTGAAAAAGCATGAGATTTTTAACATATCGTTCACTAATCATATAAAACTAGGGGAGCAGAGAATAGGTCTTATTACCATGGTATATTTTTATAAAGCGGAATGGTTGTGGTGTTTTGTTAAAATGTGTGTAACTTTCTATTAATTTAGTTTATTTTTATTTGTTATCGAAATGTAACAGTCCATTTTATATTACGTTTACGTTCTACCAGAAATAAATAAAAAAAAAACGTGTGTGCGTTAAAGTTGGGTTGTCAATCGTAAAAACATTCAATAATATTTTGTCGTTATATATAGCGTCATTTTACAGACACTTTCATATTTGATAACATTATGATAATGTCCATTTTTTGAACATAAATTGGATAATAAATTAATCTAATAACAAGTAATTTCTAATATGAAGTAATTATTGATGACTTAAACATTTGGTCACGAGGAGGATTTGTTTCGCGACTAAGAGCTGGCCACGGACTACAAAAGGGAAGATAATTTTCATTTAGAGGCCGCAAGCGACTAAAAATCAGAAAAGCGTTTGCTTTCTTTAAAAACATGATTGGGCGCTCGTGAAACCTCTTAGGTATTTTAGCGACTGATGCTATTTTAAAAATAGAAAGCTGTTTTTTTACGTTCAGTTCAAGTTTATATTTGTCGTATGTTGAATTATGAAATGACAATAAAATATAACTCAGCTTACTAGTAAAAACATTTCTTAATTGTACCGAAACATAATTTTAATGAAATGTATTTAATCAATGTTAAATTATACAACTTAAACAATCATCAAACTTTTAGATTTATTATGTTTGTTTTTATATATTATTAATAATATTTAATTATATTTACAATAACTAAATGCAATTTCATTCCTCATAATAGGAGTATTTAACTTCTGAGATGAGAAGTAAAAATTTGGCATGCTTCATAAATGTATTTAAACATTAAAATTTAGGGCCTACCTCCAATACGCTAACGTTTTGTTTACAAAGTCTACTTTACAACTAAAAATTAAGATCCGTTACACTAAATTTCATAAAAATCAAACAAGCATACATATGTATAATTATTGTATAATCTAGAGTATCAGAACATGAATATCATCACCTCCGTATCAATATTTATTTATAAATTGGACTTTTTATTACCAAAGCTAAAATTGAATTATCCATAACATTTTTAAAAAATAACGTGAAATAAAAAGCTTTAATTTTAGAAAATAATTTAACAAGCATGCAATTATTAATTAATTAGTAATACAACATATAGTGTTAGTTACGTCACAAGTTAAAGACAGTTACAAATACTTTGGACGTTTCGGCCCAAGGTCTTCGTCAGCACACAACAGTGTGGTTTCAGATTAAACATAAAAGGCAATTGGTAACACAAATTTTGACTTAGCTGGACAGTGAAAACACCTCTTGCCTAAATGCCACGATATCCAAAATTACTAATTGAATTAACCTCACCGCAGCTACCTTTTATAATTATTTATTAATAGTCAAATTTGTAGTCTCTCTGTGAACTTCAACAATGACGATTAAAAAATAATCTTTCACGACAAAAACCTAACAAAATGTATTAAAAAATTAAAATTACATAACTTAAAAAAAAGCTAAACAACTAGGTTACATGACTATGCCAATGAACATATATGCCAACTTTTAAACATAATTCAAACCCTACCCCTAACGTCAAATTTAGTCTTAAAATCGGTAAGACCATAATGTGACGTCACTAACATCTGCCCTTCTAAATTATCTTGATTCGGACGGAAATCTGCGTGTTTGTCGAAATGTCCTTCCTTTACAAAACACAAATTAAAAGCTTCATCACATGTTTTATCTCTATCTCATATTTTTTCTCACACATGTACAAAACCACATAACCATGAACTTGAAAAGGGTAGGCCTATATAAATCATGTAATAACAATTAAATAAAAACCTGTTAAATTTACATTTGTAAAAACTTCGCATTACTAATTGAAGAACCAAGTTTTAATTGTTATAAGCTTCACACGTCTGCATTGACAATTAAAGGAGACGTAATATAATTTAACGAAATCCCGAAACTATTTGTTGGTATAAATGTGATGAAATTGAAAATGAAATGCAACGCTGGAATAATTCTATTTTCACACAACGGGAATGCAACATTTTGTATCAGTTTCAAAATCACGAGCATCTACGTCGCAATAATTGCTTGACACCGAAATTTAGATTGATTTTTAGTGTTTGATACCTGCAAATATGTTGGATGTTGTTTTTTACATTATTTTGCACTATGGAAAAGGGGATTGAGCTTATAAAAAATGCAGGTCTATTTTTTTAAATAAGTAAAGTATTTTGTATTGCTTACAATAGCAAGATAATTATTTTTTTTTTAAATATAGGATAAACTTACAATGTTAAAATGTTTGTTTTTTTTGCTTTGAATGCGTGATAAAATTTGAGAAAGGAGGAACCGAATCCACACGTTTTACAGTGCATCTAAACAACTATATCGCTTTGTTTGTCTCTTCTGCATTACTTTCATACATCAGCATTATCTTTTTCCCGTTTGTGCCCATGACACAATGAATAGATGAAGTACGGTTAATCTGTTTCTATTATCAAGACATGAAATAATAGTGTTGTCAGCACTATGACTAAACGCATTTGCGTTCCCTAGCGTTAGTTAGGTACCATCAGATCTGAGTGGACTCAGGGACGTACTGCAGTCTGAATTGAGATATGAACCTTGGACCTTCGAGCTAGCTGACAAACCGCTCACTTTCCTTCCGATTGCCATGAAACTTTAAAAGTGAATGAAAATGCTCATCGGAAGCTTTCTGTGTAAAACATCTTTCGAATGGACAGGGTTTGATTTTGCGCCCAGAGTTACCCAATGGCTTTTTAGATCTTTTGATATGAAATCCTGCGCATAGTAATCATGTATACTACTTGAGTTAACTGTTAAGCAGTATATGACATATATCTGCTGGTCGGGTGACTCGCAGCACCCTGGACTACGCCGTTAACACTAGGGTACCTACGTTCGTTTCAAAAAGTGCCTTACATTATGGATAATTTGGGCTACTAAAATCGTGGAATAAATCAAAATAGAAGCGTGCACAATCGAGACGATAGTCGTGTGACCGGGAGCGCTCCATGATCTTCTACGAGCACCATGTTGTTTTCTACCTCACTTCGTTCTACGTAGTTTCAAGGTCTGGGATTTTTTTCTTATGCAAAATGCTTCTGTTACTACAATGATAGCGATAGTGTGGACAGAAAAATACGTCACACGTCTAAAAATACATTTTGGTAACAATAATTTAGTTTAAAAACCCGGCTGTTCAATGCTATTTATGTGGTTTTTAAAAAGTAATTTGTATTAGTTCAGGCCGAGATAATTTTATACATTTCATTTTGTACGTCTTGATAAGTAGATCTATAGATCTAAATCCAATTTGAATCTTCTTCTTCTTCGTTCTTAATTTTAATGCTGGAAAGGGTCCCCTTCCAACACAATTAAGGATACGTGTCAACTGGATATGCGCCAATGAGGCAATTGACTCCCATTTCAGCCTGCTTTTCTTTTATTTTTGGATTTGCTTCCATAGCCTTTGTCCAAACAAGAATAAACTACTATGCAGCAGTTGTTTGATTTTGGGGTTGTCTCTCCTAGAAGAGTTGCTGTCCCCTGCTAACGAGCCTCATCTGCCCGAGGGCTTGAACAGTTTAGCAGTCATGAGCTTTACCGACTCTGCACGCCAACCCCCATTTATATTGCGTAGGCTACTTTTTAATTATGTATTTATTTATGTATTTATTTATTTTACATTTAAAAAAAATGAGTACTTTTATTTGCAATTTAAAACAAATGTAAGAACATCAACCTATTTTATAAAATTTAAATATTCTTATGAAACGAAGTATTTTAACAAATGTACGTATTGAGATGGATTTACAAATGTATGCAATAAAAAATAAAAAGATATGTTGTCTAGAACATTTTTAACTATATTTATTTAAAAAATGTATACAGGGATGTAATAAATAATGAGCATGTACTAGTGAAAAATTCAAAGTCGAATGAGAGGAGGGTTCAAGGTTATGTTACTGATTATAAGCACTTTTTCGGTTACATAATTAAAAATGTGTTTCTACAATCGAATGCTGCTTTATTTATGTTTTTCCTTCTTTAAAGAAAATTTAGTTTAATAGGCCTAAATCCAACATATTCTTTTCAACAAAAGTCCTTATTTTTAAGTTATCCATATATTGCTGTAGATACTGATCTCATAGCCTCGGGACATGCAGAAAGGGAAAGAGAGAAAAGTGCACACATGGGCTTTTATATAATAGGATGCACTAAGAAGTAGAAATAAAATTATTTTCTTTAAATACATAATAATACACTACTAATTTATAAATAAATAGATTACAGGATTGGATCGCTTTGGCAGTGAGGTTTCCAACTCTGATTTTATTTCGCTCTTTCTACACTGCTGATTCCAAGTTGTATCGGTATGCTCTGTCCCTTGAATCCATAAGCTTTGTTGAGAGATGGTGTCTATTACATTGTGGACATCTAACTCATCTGTCTAACTGCCCAGACCTTGCGCTTGGATTTCCAAAGCAGAATTTAATAGTTGATTTTACTTTGGAAACAAAGTATCATGTTATTTAATGTTCTTATGTTGTTGTTTTGGAAGCCCATAAGCTTTTTTCGGCATAGTTTTATTTTTATTTTGGGGTTCTTTTACTTGGTTAGTGTTATTATTTATTTGTTTATTCTTTAATTTTCTTACTTACCTGTTTATTTATTTTGCTTACATTAATTATGAATTGATTTTTGTCCAAAACATCCTCAACGGGTATTGCAATCTCAATTAACGTTCCACTAATACAATGCGATTGAGTTACAACCTGATTGGTAATACGATGATTTTAAACAGTGTACAATCAATAACCAATGATATTGAGATTTTTACATTTTCCATTTCTTTAAATTGATATTTTAGAAACAGTATATTCTGTACGAACGTATATTTTGATACACCATACAGTTTGGGTTTGCATGTGAGTGATACACAATCCATGGTTAATTTGTTTGTGTAATAATTGTAAAGATGTAGACTTATATTATTTAAAGACCACCTTCAATAATTTTCTAATTCTTTCTTTCTCTCTCCCTATCCTACACTATCTCTTACCCCCTTACATTATATATAAAATTGAAAGCAAATGTACTATGTAATGTTTTACTCACGATCATGTGATATTAAGTAGAGATTTATTGATTAATGCGTATGCAGTGTATGAATCATGCATATAACATAGAAGCAATTTCGAAACTATTTCAATATTTTGAATTCCCGAAGAGTAAAATTATAACTCCAACACGGAAATGTGTCAGTTTCAATTTCATAATCTGTATGCAAGCAAACAGATAAGGAGTTTCATTACAAAATTTTCCATTTTCCGAGATTTGCAGCGACAGACGTGGCAAGCTTTCATATCCAAATCAGAGTGTTTATATAAAACATTGTTTATCAATTTAGTGACGGTAAGTGTTTTAACACTCTTTAGAGATTGTGATTAATTGTGTATTAGACCAAGGGAAGATAGTGATTAAAAAGTGTGATGGTGCATGTGTATTGTAATTTTTTAACACGATTATTGCGGCAGGTATATTTGAAGCAGTTTGAAACTTTGCGCTGTCTTTTTAGGGCGGTCTTGAATTTGAGTGACAGCCTATTATAAGCAGATGAATTATTTGAACATGGGCTAAAAACTTGACAAGCTTCTGATGTTGCATGTGTTTATCTGGTTAATATTTTAAGTTGTAATTTTAACTGTTGTTTGCCTTTTAGCTGCATCGTTGTTATTCTTGGAAAATCTAAATTTTTTAATTTCATTTTATTGCCTATTGTTTAATTTTCATTCCGCGTTCATAATGAACATTTTGCTGAAATAAACTTTATAATTTATGAATATATATTGGTGATAAGGTGTTGATATCCATTCTCATAGTTTTAAAAACATGACCAGGAAGCAAATTAAATAAACGCTTGTTATAAAAGCTTGTAAAAACCTAAATGTAATACTTTCAGGCCAGCAGGTCAGCCATTTACACAGTCATTTATATATTATCCTCAATGTATTATCACCAAGAACAAGATCTTCTCCAAGGATTAAATACAATGTTCAGTAAGTCTTATTTGTCTTACAAAGAAAAATTACTTTTACTTTGCTGATACTACTGTTCCGACTAAATAGAATGTATTTAACATGTTTTAAACTTTTCCTGAAATACTTATATTAAATAATTTTGAGGTTTAGACTGCTAAGTAAAGAACGTATACACCGCTTATAATAAAATAGTTCTAATTATGTGTATATATACTATCCTATTTCAGTTGTAGACCAGAGACTGAACCAGGACGATACATCCCAGTTGAGGTAATGATACTGATATAAATGTTTTGGATATTTATCGGTTAACCACTTACGAATATTAAAAATATTTAATAATTAGTTGCTTTTTTAAAAATATATTAGGCCATATATATAGATAAGTTTACTAATGAGCATTTCTCAATTCTCGCATTGGCTGGCTCGCTGGGTCAATGTCTGAATAATTAAAAATTGGGAGTGTCGTTTGTAAACTGTCGTCGCGAGAACTACCCGGTTACTTCAATTCCATTGTCCCATCTAGATGACGGTAGGATGACGTTTAAATTATTTTGGCTGCTGTTTTAATGTAAGCAATGTGCTCCTCGGCTCATTAAAAAAAAGAAAGGTAACAAAAAGTGTCTTTAGCATTAATGTTACTCCATTATGGAAAATATCAATGTAATAAGTACCGGCGGGTGTGAGAGAGGGGGGGGGAGACAGAAATTAATGTGTGTTTATGTTTGTAACTGGCGCGCAGACCCTTGTAAGTCTCTAAACGTCGCAGTCTCTCGGTGCTTTTCGTGAGACGAACCATTTCGGATAATGATGAACGATTGGGTCGGCCGAAAACTGTAACCAATGATGATAACTATGTCGCACAAGTCTACCGAAATGGTCATGTACACGTTGTACTTAAAGAAATAACAAGGACAATGATCAGTCTAAGTGCCGTGCTTGCTGACTCCGGTCTAAAACGTGTTTGACTGAGCGTTTACCCTGCCCTGTCTGACAGGTTTTAAACATCAGAGCATCATAGGAGGAGTGATAACCTAAAATTTAAATTATGTATAGAAATTAAATATAATAATTGTAATACACACATATGCTTTAAATTATAAGATTGTAAAAATGTCAGACCATCCTCGAATATTTATATATAAAGGCCTATATATGTATTTATAAATATATTATATAATATATATATATTATATAATATATATATATACATACATACATATATATATATATATATATATATATATATATATATATATATATATATATATATATATATATATATATATATATATATATATATATATATATAATTATTTATATATATTAATATATGTATATATATATATATATATATATATATATATATATATATATATATATATATATATATATATAATATTATATATATATACATATATATATATGTGTGTGTGTGTGTGTGTGTGTGGGTGTAAGTATATCTACATAAATATATATTATCTCAAATTATGTTAGCATATCTTAGCTTCGCTTTGTTTAACTTAGCTTTCGAATAATATATTTCTATTATTTTTTAATAATTGATTAACATTATTTTTATAACGAAATCGATTATCGAAATCATGTACCAAAAAGGATTATTATCAACAGGGACCTAGAGATCAATCAGTCAACTACCATTAACTACTCGATACCTCAAGTGGACAAAGATATTGCAACAGATATTGTCAAATGTTTTCAAGACAACATGGAAAACTTTACTGACTTCACTGTCAACATTGGTGATTTTCAGTTCAACTGTCACAAGTTTGTTCTCAGTTCCTGTTCTGGTTTCTTTGAGGCTCTCATGAGGACAGATATGAGAGAAAAATCTGAATCAAGCTGTACCATAGAGGGCATCTCACCAGAAATATTTGGTCTTATAATGGATATCATTTATAAAGGGAGAAATGTTTTAAATGAGGCTAATATGTTGCAAATCTGGCATGCCTCAAACCAACTGCAGATCAAGTTGTTAACGACAGCAAGTGAAAAATTTGTTCAAAGTAACATAACTGTGATAAACTACAAAACTATTTTAACAAACGCAGAAATGTTGAATTCTTCAACTGTTATAGCAACTATCAAGGAAGTTTTGGCAAAATCGTTCTACGACCTTGTATGCTTGGAAGACTTTATGAAAATTTCCTTTGAAGAATTGCTGGAAATTCTTATGAGCTGTCAACTAAATGTTTGCCCAGATTTTCGTGTTCATTCAGTCTTAAAATGGACAGGCACTGAGGATAATTCCACTTACTCCACAAGACAAATCGTGGGAGACTTTAAGGATAATTCATGTTATAACCCAACAAATTTCTTACAACGCAGGACTTGCCTAAGTATGTTATTAAAGGCAGTGCCACTCGAGAACACGACCACAAAGTGTCTCTCTGAGCTGATGAACAATGAGTACATGCTGGAAAACAAAGAGGCGATGAGGATAGTAAACGGAATCGCTGCAACCAGGCTGGATGTTTATCAGCAAGATAAGAAAAAAGGCAATAAAATGTATGCGGAATGTAAACACTGCTTTCAGATGAGGATTTCACCAAAACACCAGAAAAGCTGGTGTTTAGGCAGCATACACCAACTTGATTTAATTTTTGATTAAAAGAAAAGATAATGTTTAGGTTGTAAAGAGCACACATGCGTTAACGTGAATAAGTAGAATGCGTGCGTAGTAATCATTTTACATTAAATCAAAATAGATCTATTACCACAAAAGTCGAAAAATATTAGACCGTTACATAGAAGTAACATTCAGATTAGGCACAGTTGTATTGCTTTAAAGACGGATTAATTCATATCATATTCATATCACATCCTTCAGTTGTAGGATGTATTTATATTTATATATATATATATATATATATATATATAGAGATATATAGAGAGATATTATAATGTATATTTTGTTTGCCTCAATACAAATATTTAAGACGCTAACAGTTTTCATCTAGTGTTTGTGCGCCATTGTTATAGTTAGTGTAATACATAAGCCCATGCTTAGGCTATTAAAAAGATTTGATTTTACATGATTTTATTTACTTTATTTACATGTCTTTGTGGGAAGCCCAGTAAGCCCTATTACCCCATTGAATATCGTATTTAATACAGTATAGATAAGATTATAATAGGATATGGCAATGTAGTAAGTTATCACTTTTTTTCGAGATTCTGGTATCATAATAAACTCTTTGATGTGTGTTATTTTATTTTCTAATAACTAATATTATTTAACAGCAGTTATGATTGCAATACCACATGCTTTACCATTAAAATTAAAAACAAAATTGACCATAGTTTGTTTCATTTCATATATCGTTATCTTTTTACAAACGTTTTCAAGCACTGCTTGGTAGAATCTATTGTTTGGCTGCAAACAAGAAATTATCAGATTCGGAAAGTTTTCGAATTTTAAAAGTTTACGTAGGAAATAAATATTGAAAATAATGCCATGTTTCAGAAAGTCTGCTTCGCGATATAAGAATCCTGAATGTGAAATAAATAAAAATTAGAAATAGGTGCTACGGGTCATTTAGAGTTTAGGTTAGAATTGTCTAGAATAGAAACTAGGGAAGTGTGTTTGTGTGTTGAGTTTTACTGCGTTTGTCTATGTATTGTTATCACCAGGAAAAATGCGAATATAAAAAGGGGTGTAAGTGGTTAGGCAGTTGGTATAGATAATTAACAGCTAAATGAGGGAGTTGGAGGAGAATTGCAAGAATTTAAAGGAGAAGAATAAACACCTTATACACTTCTTGTTGGAGTGTTGTGTTTTTGGTGCGCTTTTAAAAGTTGATGTTAACAGGAGGAAATTCCAAGTTTTTGGAAATCGGCGCTGATTCATTGAGATGAAAGAAGAAGAAACCTTATGGACACTTAACCCAAACACTTCTTCTCTTGTTGCTGCCAGCATTCACGAAGAATTATATGATGAATTTTTGGAGGAGCGGAAAGAATCCCCCGCAGGTACCTTGTTTAATGAAAACCTTTTCATTATGCTGTGTTATGTACCATTCATGGACAACATGTGAAGATGCTTCTTTTTTAAGTTTTAATTCCGTTTGTGTCTACGTAATTCAGTGCGATGGGATTTCAGAAATTCTCCTTAAAAATAAAATAATCAAATACATTAAGAGCTATGAATTACATTAAGTTGTCGTTAACAAAAAAATCAATCGCGAATTTATATTTTGCATGCGATTTCAACCAAAGCATTAAATCCATTTACAGATACGAGTTTTTTTTAAATATACTAGTAAATCTAATTTTAGGTATTACATTATTAATTATTATTAAATTAAGTCTATTAAAATTGCTTTTTTTTATTGTATGGGGGTCGCTTGACAATAGCTTTTAAAAACGTTTGTGAATCAGTGTTCTATAATATTTAAAAAAAAAAAAGACTACTCGGACCAAGTACAATTTAATAATCGAATAACATAAGTATCTTGTAAGTTAGTTTTTAAATTAGGTCATGGGTGTTTTAGGTAATTGAAAATCAGTGAATCATTTGAAAAAAAAATTATTAATATTATTCGTATTTTTTAAAATTGCAACACTCAATCTGACAAAAAGCTACTATTTTGCTTTAAAATGGTGATAGAACTGCTTCAAGCAGTTGATGAAAACATAGGTCGCTATGTATTGCAAACTCTGTCTATGATATTTGTTTCAAAAACATAACAAATTACGGCAATGATTGAGGACAAGAAGGTCCAAAAAAATCTATTAATATTCATTCGGTTTTTATTGATTTGTTTGTTATTGTCAAAATAAACATATACATGTATATGTTCTTATATATATATGTATATATATATATATATATATATATATATATATATATATATATATATATATATATATATATATATATATATATATATACATTTTAAATAGGGTTAGTGTTTCTATTATGATATATTGTCATGAATGTAATTTTGATGTGTAAATTTTTGGAATCATCAATTATCTTGGAATTCTTACAACTGGAAGAAACGCTTGAATACCAAAGGTTCAACTTAGATGATTTCCACTGATGGTATACTTCTCTCTCTCTCTCTTTCTCTCTCTCTCTCTCTCTCTCTCTCTATATATATATATATATATATATATAAGCATATACATATTATATATATACATATATATATATATATATATAAATAATAGGCATATGCCATATCCGCAATCATAGAGACTTGAAGTAAACAAAAAAGATTGAACATTTAAATTTCAAAATGAAACAATTTTGCTTTCAGTTTTTATATTCATTACTAGCGCAGTACAAGTATTTTCGGGAATTCTTAAAGATGAACTGTTCTAGGAAACGTTAAGCAGACATCATTATCACTTAATGTTTTTAGTCGTATTTATTAAACTAGAAAACAACATTTTTTAAACTTTAAAAACGCAGGGTTATAATCCCATTCGGGTCTACCACCTATTCTGTTATTATTTATTGTATACAATGCATCGTCAGCGTGAAGAAAGATTCTCAAATGCACCTTTCGATAGAAATCGACGACAGCTATGGGGTATGTTGTACTTTTTGGCAAATTATTTTTACTGTTTTTTGATAAAAATAAACACGAAAACAAAACAACGAATAAATAATAAAAGCTATGTTTAATTAGATTGTATTTTAAAAAGATGCTTAGAATGTTTTATTTACTCTTCACGCTTTATATTTTTAAACTTTTAATCCTAAAATATTTTGTCGATAAATTATGCATTATTTATACCTAAACGTTAAAAGTATTTGGGTAACTTCGTGTTACGCTTTTTCAGATGGCGGAGAGAGACGTGACAATGAAGAAAAATTAAAATTAAGGCAAAGGTATTTTTTAAAATTCTTATGTTTATAAACCTAATAATCAGGGGCGTAGCCATGATCTTCTCATGGGGGGGGGTTCAATTTTTTTCGCGCATATATATATATATATATATATATATATATATATATATATATATATATATATATATATATATATATATATATATATCACATCAGTGATTTGATATTTGTTTTTAATACATTGGCTGCATTTTCTTTTGATAAAACAAATAATGAGTTGATTGGTCACAAAAAATGTCTTTTACATTTCCTCTTTCATTTCTATTTAAATGGTTGATGGTAAATAGCTTTGCAAAATAACACTCTAAAGTTATTATTCTGGTATGTGCATTAGTCTATTGAAGTCCATTATATAAAAAGTATTGTGTTACTGTTTGTCTTTTTCCGTCTAATCTGTAACCACACTGTTGTGTGCTGACGAAGACCTTGGGTCGAAACGTCCATAGTAGTAGTAACTCTCTTTAGCTTGTGAGGCAACTAACACTATCTTTTTATTACTAATTGAATTAACCTCACTGCGGCTACTATTTGTATTAAAAACAGTACATCGCTAAGCTTGATCTCCATTATATGAAGAGAGTTAAAGAGTATTTCTATATGTTGCTTACAAAACCTAATGAGTGAATCTTTTACCTAAATCGTGACCATTGTTATTATTCTCGTTTGTTATAATTCTGATTCTTGTGGCTGGTCGATTCTAAGCAATACTAAACAAATGTATTCAAAGGTATTCTAACACCTAAGAAAAAAATTAAAATGAATCCTTATCCAAAATAAACTGGGAGTGATCTCCCCTAAACTTTCTCGAATATTCTTATATAACGCTACGTGGGATGGCAACTCGGAATATAGACATGATTTTTAATTACTTAAACTTTTAAAAATTAGAATAGAACTGCACACCAAGCGAACGCCAAAACAAAATGTGCATAATAGTGCGGAATGTTATTAGTATTTTATAAATTTACATGCGTTTTTTGAGAAATTGGAAATAACGTAAATTAGTACTTCCGGTCAACGGAAATTACTCAAAATTAAACAGGAGGTAGAAAATTAAATCGTTTACTTACATGTGAAATTTCATTTATCTATCTGAAAAAGTACTCAAGTTATAGGCTTTTTAAAAAATCTAAGTAGAAAAAGTACCACATCCGGTTATCGGAAATGGCTCAATAGTTGATCAGGATCTACGATTTTGATAAAATACTTATATAATAGGGTTGTCAAAATTAACGCAAAAACAAAAACACATGCACGAATAAGTGCATGTTCTTAACTATAATATTTTAACTGCAAAACACATAAACTAGTAGCAGTAAAATATTTCTATCTAATAAAATCTAAGAATAACATTTTTAACTACTTAGTTATATCAAGCAACGAAAAACCAAATGTAGATTGTTGCACATAAATCCCATTTATGGGATACTCACAAGAAAGAGAGGCGTAAATGTTTATGGTAAATGATTTTTACGATAAACCAATGGTTATCTTTGTTAACTGTTGACTTTGTGATGTGAAGTAGTATTTAAACATATTTAATTACGGTCTTAACTCAAATATCAGTTATATATTATTGTATAAAGTATTGACATTACATTTTTACTTTCTCGTATATACGAAGTATAGAGAAAGTCTTGTAATCGTGCTAAACAAAAAATCGAGATTTTCACAAATCTCGACGTTTTACACCTCACTGATACAGAAAAACATAATTTTGCAATCTTGTCCGTATGTCTCTCTCTCTCTCTCTCTCTCTCTCTCTCTCTCTCTCTCTCTCTCTGTGTGTGTGTGTGTGTGCGTGAGTGTGTGTCTGTGTGTAAACACGATAACTTGTGTACCGTTACAGCTAGGTTGATGCAATTTCATATATAAGTATTTTATCAAAATCGTAGATCCTGGTCAACTTTTGAGCCATTTCCCATAACCGGATGTGGTACTTTTTCTATTTAGATTTTTTTAAAAAGCCTATAACTTGAGTACTTTTTCAGATAGATAAATGAAATTTCACATGTAAGTAAAAGATTTAATTTTCTACCTTCTGTCAAATTTTGAGTAATTTCCGTTTAACGGAAAAACTAATTTACGCTATTTCAGATTTCTCAAAAAAACGACGTAAATTTATAAAGTACTAATAATATCCCGCACTATTATGCAAATTTTATTAGGCGTTCACTTGGTGTGCAATTCTTTTTTTTTTTTACGAGATTCCATTGTATTATAAAAAGTTTAAGTAATTAAAAATGGATTACAAATATTGTCTATGTCCTGAGTTGCAATCCCTCATAGTTTTATATTAGAATATTCGAGAAAGTTTAGTGGAGATCACTATCGGTTTATTTTACAAGCGTCTTGTAAGTGGGACGCTAACAGTATATGGGTTAAATCGTTTTTTATGCATTTTTACTTTCTCATATATACGAAGTATAGAGAAAGTATTGTAATCGTGCAAAACGAAAAATCGAGATTTTTACAAATCTCGACGTTTTACACCTCACTGATACGGAAAAACATAATTTTGCAATCTTGTCTGTATGTCTGTGTGTGTGTCTCTGTGTGTGTCTGTCTGTCTGTCTGTGTGTAAACACGATAACTTGAGTTTCCGTTACAGCTAGGTTGATGAAATTTCATATTTAAGTATTTTATCAAAATCGTAGATCCCTATTAACTTTTTAGCGATTTCCAATAACCGAATGTGGTACTTTTTCGACTTTGAATTTTTCAAAAGCCTATAACTTGAGTACTATTTCAGAGAGATAAATGAAATTGCACATGTAAGTAAAAGATCTAATTCTCTACCTTCTGTCAAACTTTGAGTAATTTCCTTAGACCGGAAGTAGTAATTTACGCTATTTCCAATTTCTCAAAGAACGCGTGTAAATTTATGAAGTACTAATAATATTGCGCACTATTATGCACATTTTGTTTTGACGTTCGCTTGGTGCGCAATTCTTTTTTCTACTAGATTCTATTATATTTTTAAAAGTTTAAGTAAACAAAAATCATGTCTATATTCCGAGTTGCCATCCCACGTAGTGTTATATAAGAATATTCGAGAAAGTTTAGGGGAGATCACTCCCGGTTTATTTCAATACTATAAGTGTTTTATACAGTAGACTTGCAGGACTAAAAACAACTGCGCTCTAAATTGCGCGTTAAATAGTACTTTTAAAAGGAAACTTAAAATTATTTTTTAAACATAAATTAGGCATCCAATTAAGTCATATTTGATGACAGATTGCTTTGTCTTTGGGTCTTGACCCACGTGCCAAATTTGAAACGAATCGGTAAGTTTAGAAGGGGCTGAAATTTTGTTAGCCAGTTTTGATTGATAATAGAAGAAGCACAACAGATAGACAGAAAAAAGACAGAGGAACGCAGTTGAATAAAAGCTTATAAAAACATTTTTATTGCCCGATTGCACTGAAAGTCCGTTAACAATTACTTTTATATAAGAATATACGAGAAATTTAGGAGGATCTCTCCACTTTATCACATGCATATTTTTACGTAAAACTATATACAACAATAAAACAAATGTAAAAAATTTCAAAATAAGAATTGTAGCTTTCGGTTTGGTTTTGCTGTACGAACACAGACGTTACTAAATTAACATTTCTAAGAACAAATTTTACAAAATGTGCTGTTTATAATGCAATTTGAAGCAATACGGATTATTGATTAGTGATTATAACTTCTTTTTGTTCTAAAATGAATGTCACATTTATAAATGAAGCATTTTATTATGTTTGGCAGGGAAACAGAGGACAACCAGCTAAGTATTACTGGCAACATGTTACCTAAAGTAGATCTAGAAATAGCAACAGATGTTTTCAAATGTTTTCAAGACAGTATGGAAAACTTCACTGATTTCACTGTCTTGGTTGGCGTCACCAAGTTTAACTGCCACCGGATCTTTCTCAGTTCCTGCTCTGGTTTCTTTGAGGCTCTTATGAGGACAGATATGAGGGAAAAATCTGAATCAAGTTGTACCATAGAGGGCATTTCACCAGATATATTTGGACTCATTCTAGATGTTATTTATAAAGGGAGAAACGTCTTAAGTGAAGAAAATATGTTGGAATTGTGGATGGCAGCAAATCAACTACAGATTCAATTTTTAATAACAGCCTGTGAAAAGTTTGTCACAAAACATGTTACGCCTCAAAATTATAAGTTTGTTTTAAATAACGCAGAACTGTTACATTCGTCAACTATTATTATGGAGGTTAAGAATGTACTCGCTAGATCCTATTTTGATTTGGTATGCTCTGATAATTTCATGCAGGTATCTTTAAAAGAACTGCTAGAAATTCTTCGGAACAACAACTTGAGTGTATGCCCTGACTTTTGCGTCTATTCTGTGTTGAAGTGGGCGAGTGCAGATGATTACTCCAATAAGCCCGACGAACTGTTAATTGTTCAAAACGGGCGTAGTGTATGGTCAAATAAGGGTGATTACCATGAAGATGCAGAAAGTATAAAGCACCGTAGATCCTGCTTAAACAATTTACTGGATGCTATTCAATTAAATCGCGTCAGCAAAGAATGCCTCTCTCTGCTCATAATTAACAAGTATATTATCGAAAATAAAGATGCGATATTTAAGGTAAACCTCATTGCGGCAGATAGGATAATGAATAACGATGTATGGTATCAAAACACAAGAGGAACATGTAAACACTGTTTTCTACACTAAGTTCCGACTTCTACATTCGATGATAAATACACATAAAACACAGATTCAAACCCCGATTTTTTAAATTTATTGTTGTTGTGTTTTTTTGTTAATTTTTTGAAATGGCAATGCCGCTTTAACATCTAACTTATTATCTAGAATACACTATTTTAGAATTATATTTTTTGGGTACATTCCTAAAGGTTGTAAGTTATTGCCCGTCAAGATGAGTTTTGGATTTTTGTATATCGAAGACACTATAATACGGGAGATCCTGTTAATTATTTTGAAAACCAAACTGTACTATTACTGAAATTAAATTAGCAAATTAATATCTATTACAAACAAATACATTTGAACGTGTAATTTTGTTACTCATACACCATGTTTTATCTCTGCTAGTAACTTTAGATAAAATAAGAGTACATGAGTGTAAACCATTATACCAAATGCGCATGGTCTGCATAGGTTTTCCCAAATAGAAATCTAAATGCCTGTATCGAATGTGTTCATGTTTGTTACATTTTAGGTTTTGAGTTGGGCAGTTTATAATTCCATAACCGTATTAATCCGTGTCTGGATGCTTACATACTGTTAAGTAGAACTTTGTAAATATAATTTGTAAAGATATTTCATTGTAATCATCGCTTGTTATAATAATATAATATAATTATGTAAAAGTTTGTTTTATGTGCTTGGGGGTATAATGCTAAATGGGGTCGAATATTTATCTCGGGCTTTTAAGATTTGGGTTCTGTGCTGGAGGATTAATTGAGGAGGGAGTGTGCAAGTGTGTGCAAACTGCAGTTTATGCTATATGAAATAAGATCCTTTGAAAGGCTGTAGAGGTACCATGTATGTGCTTTTCAGTGTAAATAGAGTGTTTGTAGAATTAAAACACCATTATGCGTTCTTTGTGATTTTTTATTGCTTATCTTCAAATTATATCAATTGTTTTATCTTATCGTTATACAAATATTCAGATTTAATATGATCTTGTATTATCAATAAAACAATAACCTAGCCATAGGCGTCGAGAAATAATACGTATTTTCAAAAGTTGTTTTCATTTAATTGATCTTCCAAAAGATTATAACAATCATTAAAAATAAACTTTGAAATACAAAGTAATTCTTCGTTGTTGCTTTTCTAGTTGTTTTTTAAAGCATAGACAAAAGGTATAGACAGAATGTTTTATTACAGATGGTTATTTCTATTACAAAAGTTATCACTATTTGAGGTCTACAAATTCAGACTGTATATGAAACATCACCGAATTTCATCTTTTAAAAGCATGAAGAAATAATTAAAAAAAGACTTTACAGAAGTTGTAAATCGGTAACTATGAAATATCAACCATACTTTTCATTGCCCAAAATACATTACTGACTATTTCATGGCTTAAACACTATCAATAAAGGCGAAGTAACACACATGCAGTGAAGAAAATCTATCCAAAAAAATAAATCTTCAAACAAGACTATTGAGTTTTTTTTACTTTTAGAAGTAATGAGACAGTAAAACGACATGTTTACAACGGCGATTTCTTTCCAAATGTCAAACTTCTATAATTAGACCTAATATATATCAGCTGTTAAATTTTTGTAAAAAAAAAAAGCCAACAAAAATTATACCTGTTCAGTTTTTCTTACAGACTTTTTTTCTTCGGGGGGGGGGGGGGGTCACTTGATATTTTCGGGGGGGGGGGGGGGGGCGGTCAACATTTTAAGAGGGGGCGGACACTGGTAAAAGAATAAATTTTCTATATAAATTCTATTTCGTTCGGGGGAGGGGGGGGGGGGGGGTTGGGGGGAGGCGGTAGACTGTTTTCATCTTAAGAGATGCCTGGAAGAAACTCTGTACCTGTTAACAAAAGAATACACTACGAGAAAGTTTGGAGGAAATGTGTTTAAAATATACAAAGTAAAAGGTTTTATAGCAAACTAGTAAATCAGTGACCTTGTCCAGCGCTCGGGCGGAATATCAACATTGTGCGCCCTCTCTCTACCATTTATATATATAGTACTTTCTGTTTGTGAAAAAGCACCCACCCCCACCCAGTTCTAAATTTATGTGGCACTTCTAATCTGTTACTATCCCGCAACATTGTCATTTCAGTGTCACGAAAGTGCTAAATCAGTGTGTAATTTAGTTTAAAGCCCTGAAGTAATTTATGTTCGTAACTTTGACTGTGTATAATTCAATACTTCAGCTTAAATTATTTAAATACATTTTTTCTTCCCCTTTTGGCGCCCCCTTATGGTTGACGCCCGGGGTGGCCACCCCACCCGCCCTCCCCTAGCTATGCCATTGAGCGAGGGTAATTTAGTGTAAAAAAATCTCTAACAGAGTTTAATCGCTTTAAACACACGTTGATACAAATGAATGTTTCCCGATACCAATTGTAGTATTGCGACAAAAATGAATCTACATTGTTTGTTGCTGGTCTAGATTTCTCTGCTCGTGGATCCGCGGTTACTGTTCACGCTTATAGACACTAAATTGAAATCAAAAGGGAACTTTTTATAAAGATGAGAAGGATATGCCAGGATTTTTTGATGTCATGTTTAGAATGAATAATGAACAGTCTTATATTTAAAATAAATTATAGGATTAGGTTTATTAACATTTAAATGACGTGTAACCCTCACCCAGTGGGAATGCTTTTACCCACTGAGGTGTTGTGGTTAAGACGGGCTGACCCTGAGATTAAGTACACACTGACACCGACAGTTGTTGTCAAGTACTCGCTTTATTTACAGCATCGAGCCATGACGGTGATGCAACACAGTAGTACAAAACAAACTAGCCAAGAAGAAAAATAACCAAAAGACCAAAAAACTGTAGCCCTAAAACAAATGTAAATAAAAAAGTTACATTCCTGACAACACCATGTGTAGGCTACAATATACACGGGTATAATAAAATATGTTTTGGCCAGTACACAGTACTGCCAACAAGTACCAATAAGTAGTACTACAAATAAATACTTATATTAATACTCACCCTAACTAGTGTGCACATGCAGCACTAGCAGGAATACACAAATAAGTATTTTAACAAACATAATTTATATAACTACCTTCATTAGGTCTACATCTTGGTCACCGTGTCCACAGACAGCAGCCTTGTGTGTGACTGACACGGCTAGGCATGAAACTACCCACAGTCCCATGTCACATGACATGGAACACAGGTAACATCGCTCACCAGAGCATGAAAAACAACTAGGGCCACGACCCCACAGGGGCCGCAACTCGATGAATTAAAACTTCATATTTTTACCCCCCTTGGCTGGTAACCATATGTGTTACACAGCCCCCTTCACAAATAAATGTACAATGGAATTCACATTTACATTTACAACTCATACATAATAGTACTTTAAAAAAGTTCAGTACACTAGTACACAGACATTAAGTCCTTTCAACTTAAATACATTATTCCCGGCAAACCTGTGCTGGCTCCAGTGCTGGTACTGGTCACCACTTGATGCGCCAGGTTGAGTCGCTCGACGGGTCGTCGTTGACGGGTTGACCTCCGCAGCTCCGCTGGTGGTTCTGGGTTGATCCAAGAGTCATCCTCGTCCGATGCCTCGTCCCTCGCATTCACCTCATCCAGATGTGAGGCTGGCCTGACCATCACCTTGTTTTGTCCGTCCCGAGCGACCACCTCTGGCACGAAGGGCGTTGCCTCCGGCCGAAGTCTGGTTGGGACCACTACCTTGATTGTCAGTTCCTCACCTTCATCTGCCTCACTGGTTGGGATGATCTCTCTCCGTCGCTCCCCCTCCGCCGCAGTGGGTTCAGCACTCGACCTAGCATAGTCGGGTCGCTGCCAACCACGGCGGCGTCCACGACGTAGTCGGCCTCTCCTCCGGCGGCGTCTCCGACCTCTGCTTGTGTCATGTCTGTCTCCCAAGCGACGATCTTGCTCGCGCTGAGACTGAAATTCATGGTGTGGCTGTCTACCCTCCTCACGCGCACCCTCCGGCTGCAACCCTCCTCCACGGCGGAACACCCGACAGCCGTACCTCCAGCCGCTAGGCGAGGTAACCTGAGCTGTAGTTGCTCGACACTGTGCTGATCTCGGTGGCGTAAACTTGGGCTGGGAGCTTGGCAGAACACGCATCAGCATCCGCTCCCCGACGCTGATAGACTGGCATTTCCCCTGCTGCTGACTCCGTTGCCTAGCTGCTTTACTCGGACAGTCACGGACGAAGTGCTTCCTGGACCCGCACCCGTAACAAGCTCCTCTGTAAGGCCGTTGTTTCCGGGCTAGGATAGCTGCTGCCACCTTCTCCGCCAGACGGTCCAGCTGTTCCTCCGTGAGCATCAGCGGCGTCGTCTCCTGACGACCAGCTACCGTTACTGCGTCGACCTTCTCCGCCAGACGGTCGTGTTGTTCCTCCGTGAGCATCAGCGGCGGCGTCGTCTCGTGGCGAACAGCTGCCGTTACTGCGTCGACCTGGATAGTCCTGTTAGCTGCTGCCGTGGCTACGACTGGGGACTCAGTTGTCCCGTCCAGCCTTTTAACAGCTTTCAGGACGTCCTCCACCTTCGGACTGGCTTCCCCTGCGAAACCAAATGCGCCGTGAAGTTCGAGCGCCAGAAGAGGTGAAACCCCCTTGCAGAAAGTGTGATACACCTTCTTCTGGGCATCGGCCTCAGTAAAGATACGCTGCTGGTTTAGCTTCGTTATCTCTGACCACAGTCGGCAGAGAAATTCCGACGCTGACTCTCTTGAATGTGGAGTGAGTCGGCTGAACTGCAGATACCTGTCTTCGGCACATCGGGTGTCGCCAAAAGTGCTTTGTAGTTGTCATAGCACTTCCTCTGGACTCGCAGCCTGCTTCACCCGCTCATAGGCAATCCCTCTCAGGCTGCCTAAGACGCGTGGCAACGGGTTCGGAACGATGGTGTTCCGCAGCAAACATCGCACGGGTTTCCCATTCCGGGAAACTCACCTCCCCTCCTCCAGTGGGTGGAAGGCCGGTGAACACACTCAGCTTGCTGTTGTGT